GTGTTTTTCAAGGATTTTGTCTAACTTATCAAATTTATGCATATACAGTTCGTAGTGTTCCCTTATCATCTTTTTGATATCTGTAAAGTCTCTATGCTGTGTTTCATTCCTAATATTTGTAGTTTGTTTTCTTAGTCAGTCTTGCTAGTGGTTTGTCAATTTTATTGATGTTTTTCAGAATACAAGCTCTTTTGTTTCATTGATTTTCTCTTATAAATTTCATTGCTTTCTGGTTCCTTTCATTTTTATTTCCTTGCTCATGCTCGCTTAGGGTTTACTTTGCTCTTCCTTTTCTAGGTTCTTGAGATGGGACTTAAGATGATTGATTTTAGACTTTTCCTCGTTCCTAATGTATGCATTTAGTGCTTTAATTTTCCCTTAGCACTGCTTTAGCTGTGTGCCACAAATTTTGCTATGTTGTTTTCATTTTTATTCAGTTCAATGTATTTAAGTTCTTTCCTTCAGAATTCCTCATTGACCCATGGATTATTTAGAAATGTGTTTAGTTTTGAAGTATTGTAAGATTTTCCTCCTATCTTTCTATTGTTGATTTCTATTTTGAGTCCATGGTGATCAGAGAACACATTCTGTATCATTCCATTTTTAAGATTTTATTTATTTATTGGACAGAGAGAGAGACAGCGAGAGAGGGAACACAAGCAGGGGGAGTGGGAGAGGGAGAAGCAGGCTTCCAGCAGAGCAGGGAGCCCGATGCGGGGCTCGATCCCAGGACCCTGGGATCATGACCTGAGCTGAAGGCAGACGCTTAACGACTGAGCCACCCAGGTGCCCCTGTATCATTCCATTTTTAAATTGGTTGAGATTTGTCTTTTGGTCCAGGATATGGTCTATCTTGGCGTATGTTCTGTGGGAGCATGAGAGGTCTATTCCACGGTTGTTGGGTGGAGTGTCCTGTGTTGCTTAGATCCTGTTGGTGACTGTTTTCATCTCAGTATCAGCACCTGCTCTCTTTTTTCATGCAGTTTGAGATCTTCCTGGATCTTGGTATGATGAGAGACTTTTTTTCCTAATATGTAACTTTATTTTTAACTTTTTAAGTAATCTCTATGCCCAATGTGGGGCTTGAACTCACCACCCTAAGATCAAGAGTCACACGCTCTACCGACTGAGCCAGCCAAGCGCACCCATGATGAGACTTTTTATCAGAGCCTGGACATTTTTGTATTATGAGATTGAATCGAAATTTAAACTCCTGTTTTAACTAACTCTGTGAACTGCTTTGGCATGGGCAGGAGAGGCGGGATTTCATGATCCTCCACCAGCTCTAATCTCTAGCTTTATTTAGGTTCCCCCTCTGCACTGTTCCCTACACTACAGTGCAGGAAACTACTTCTAGGCCATAAACTGAGACAATCAGAGGGCTCACCTCATTTATTTCCCTTTTCAATATCCAAACATGTAGAATTTTGTCTGTATTTTTTAGTTAATTATAGTGGGAAGGTGATTTCTGTAGCGGAGATCACTTCATGGGTGGAAGCGGAGGTATTTCTGAGCCAGGGTTCAGCGGGAACAGATGTAAGAGGCTAGGCCCCTAGGAGAAAGGGCCTTGAAACAGCACGACCAGTGTGTGAGGTCGTAATCCCCCCAGTCTTCTCCATAAGGACTCATGGCCATTTGCACAGTACACACTGGAAGAAGAGGAATATTTGAGCATTTGAAGAACTGTCTGCTACAGGGTCCTGTCTGATATTGATGTCCACAGATCTGAAGCGTATGGCCCCGTTAGAGCGGCAGTGTATTGGGACAGGGTGACAAATGTATTCCAGACTAGGTCTGGCTCTCAGTAGTTCTGCTGGGTTCATAGATCCACCTAGCGGTCCCTTCACTGGTCCTTAGTGGGTAACTGAGATGGGTAAGTATTTGATAGTTGGCAGAACTACATTAACCACGACAGGGTAAGAGATATCTTAGTGAAGACCAGCATGAAACTCTTGAAGCTGCCTCCACCATCTCAGGCCAAGATAATTAAAACTATCACATCAGGGGGCACCTGGGTGGCTCAGTCATTAAGCGTCTGCCTTCAGCTCAGGTCATGATCCCAGAGTCCTAGGATCGAGCCCCACATCGGGCTCTCTGCTCCGCGGGGAGTCTGCTTCTCCTTCTCCCACTCCCCTGCTTGTGTTCCCGCTCTCGCTGCCAAATAAATAAGAACAAAAAACAACAACAAAACTATCACATCTGTGGCCCTCTTGAAGACCTAAAGGATGCAGGGATGGTGGTCCATCATAAAGCCATTTAATTCACTAGTCTGGTCCCTGGTAAAACCAGACAGTTCCTGGAGGCTGACAGTGGATTATGGCAATCTCAACCAACAAGTAATTTTCGACAAGTAATCTGTGCTAAATGTGGTGTCTTTGCTAGAGCAGATTAACACAGCCTCAGGTACACGATAGGCAGCCATTAATCTGAACAATATATTCCTGTCCATCTCTGTAAGAAAGGAGGATCATGAAAAGTTTGCTTTCACTAGTGGGATGAGCAGTAATATATATTTACAGTCTTGCACCTGGACCATGTAAACCCTCCCACCCTGTCATCCTATGACCTGGACCATCTGGGCATTCCACAGAGTATCACATTACCACATTGATGACATCAAGGTCGTTGTACAGGACCAGCAAGAAATGGCAAGTACATTAGAGACTGGTGGTACATAAACCTGCAAATATTCATGACATTTTTAGAGGTCCAGTGGTCTGGACCATGCCAGGACATTCCCTCCAAAGTAAAGGGGAAATTTTACTTCTCCCATCTCACTACTAAGAAGGAAACACACTGCCTGGTAAACCTCTTTGGGGTCTAAAGACAGCATATTCCACACTTGGGAATAGTGTTCTGACACATGTATCAATTTTGATCATAAATGGACAGATGTAGTCATGGCCTGCAAAGGGCACAATGACCAGGTACCTTATCAGGTAAACTCTTTGGACCAGAAGTACAAGTTGAGGGGGTGTAGCTAGAAATCTAAATGGGGAGTAGAGGTGGGAGAGGATAAATACCCATTGCAGACAGGACAAGCTATAGCAGCAGGGGCTGTGAGCTATCCCAGACCTTCCTCTGTTAGTTTTCCCAGGAAAAGGGGCCCATCAGAATCCTGAAGGGATCATTCTAGAACTTCTGAAGTAAATGGATCTGAAGAGCCCAAAAGGTGGACTATAGTGGAGACAGCGTGGGGCCCCAATTTCCCGCTCCAGGACTGAAGCACTCCTTTTCCAAGCTGCTGAGAACGCTGACAGCTCTCATCTGAGTCCCCCCCCGGGAACTGCCTTTGCCTCAAGTCAAGTCACCTAAGCACATGGCCCTTTCCTGGTCCATGTGGGGGTATGTCTGGCCACTTGCCTCAGTAGGTTACACACTTCTGCAAAGCTATCCTAGCTTGAGTGTGAGGGACTGACCAAGGTCTTTGTTGAGACCACTCAGCTCAACCTCCCCGCCTCTACACAGTCCTGCTTCCTTTACTCCCCCACCATACACTTCCTGCACATAAATTTCCAATTCAGTCTGTTTCACCAGGAACTCACACTATAGCAAATTAAAATGGAAACACTTTGGGATTAGCTGTGTGGAATGTTGTGCCTGTTGCTCAGGCAATTTCAGAGAGCTTTATGATGCTGACGGTGGTGGTGTGGAAAGATGTGTTAAATGAGCTTTTCATCTTAACAGTAGGGATGGAGATCAATTTCAAACACCACCAGTGGCGGACTTGAGTTACGGAGTCTGGCAAGTGTGAGGCTGGCCTCATGTGAATGAAAGTTACTTAACTCAGAGTGGTAGGTGAGCTCAAACACGATGATAGAAACACATCTCTCTGAGCTTCTGGTAAGGACAGCAAAGGCAATGGTCTCTTCTATACCCTTCCTGAATTGTGTGACATCACATTATATTTGGGTGACTAGCATAATCCATTTGTCAATAGTTGGGTCTTTTTTCCACTCATGGACCTTGAATTTATGCAGAGCTACTTCCCTTATCTCCCATCAAGATACCTATTCCATAATTACCCAGTGACTAGCGCTATATCATAACCCTGGTCTAGAGACCAAGATACCATCTTTTTTTATGATTTCAGGAGCTGGTTATAGAAACAAAACAGAAGTTCTCCTTAAATTCTTTCATCTCGGGCGCCTGGGTGGCTCAGTTGGTTAAGCGACTGCCTTCGGCTCAGGTCATGATCCTGGAGTCCCGGGATCGAGTCCCGCATCGGGCTCCCTGCTCGGCAGGGAGTCTGCTTCTCCCTCTGACCCTCCCGACCCTCCCCCCCTCATGCTCTCTCTCTCTGTCTCTCTCTCTCAAATAAATAAATAAAATCTTTAAAAAAAAAAAAATTCTTTCATCTCAGCTTCATTTTCTCCAACAATTACCCTTAGGCTGTATTCAGATCCCTTTTAGAAAAGTAGAATCCATTGTGCTTATTCATATTCATGACTTTATCAATATACCTAACAAAAATAACTCTTAAGACCAAAGACATACCAGATCAGCTTGTTAAGTACTTTGCTCACAGCACCCATGGGATGAAGCCTGCAAATGCATCCTCTTCTTCCTTCCTTTTTAGCACCAAACCCCATAGCTCAAGAGGACAACCTACTTGGAGGTCCTATCCCCAGTCTATTCAGGGCTGGTAAACAACATCTAAAAAGAACACAAGCTCTTATCGTCAGTGGTACTGTAATAGCATTGCATGGGGACCAATGGCGGCCTCGGCATACCTAGGTAAGCACAGAACGTACAGAATTATCCAATCACTATGCTGTACACCTGAGACTAACGTAACATGCTGTGTCAAGCATACTACAATCAAAAAAATTTGAAAATTAAAAAGAAGTTAAAATTTATCAAAACATGCACACAAACACTTAAGGACCATACACAGCACCATCTGTAGCTGAGAGAAATGTAAAGGTGTGGTGTTAAGTCATAAGTGCATAAAGTAACTGTAGTGCATATCATATCATTGTCATAAAAACACCCAAAAATAAAAAGAGCACAACCTCTTTATTTCCTCTCGTGATGCAAATGTTCAGTATGTATGAAAATGGGACCAGTACTGGAGAGCGTGGGTAGCTCTTCCATTTGTTCCAGCAAATTCCAGGCTCACAGGATCTAGACTGTTTTCATCTGTTACTATTCAGCTTATCAAATCTACAGCCTGGTACTCCTTGAGCAGGACGGCCCAGGTAAGGCCGATGTGCTAACAGCCAAAGACAGAGGTGGGAGATACGGACGAGTCAATGTGGCCATGCAGGTTAGGCCCATGTCCCCACGTGCTCTCTAAAACTCCATTATTTGGTCAGAGCTGGGAGTGGTGTCAGCGTGCAGGCCCACTGTCGATCACTGCTCCTCTGATTCTGCTCTTCTGCTTCTGAGGGAGAGAAGGTTCAGATCGTCTGGGAGCTGGTGGGGGCCACCCCCTGGGCAGCTTGCCGGGCTAACCAGTACTTGTATCTTTTGGTCTTGGGCCTCTCAAAGTTCACCACAGACATAGGTACCCTCACAGTGTCAAGTCCATTCACCTGCACACACAACGACAGGAATCCTCAGAGGTCAGCTGGGCAGAAAAGAACTACTACCACCGATTCCCACCTTTTCACCCAGCCAGAAAAAGGAGGCGGTATATGAAACACTCACCGTCACCTCACACCAGTACTCGCCCCACCGCGTAATGGGCTCTTCTGGTAACTTTAATGCATGCGGGGTGACCACAACACCAAGCTGCAAAAAGTCACAACCAAAAGAAGCTCTGTTTACATTGATGCAACTGTAGGCAACCTCAAAGAAGGTTCTGGAATTTCCTGTACAGGAATGAATAAAACTGAGGAGTTTACCCTGGCTGATCCCATGGGAGGGCACAGACCTCCATAGATAGTGGCAGAGAAACTCAGTCTAATTTCTCAGAAAGGGAGGTGGATTCACCAAAGAGAAACAGGTCCTGAGCCTGAAATCACTGTATCCACAAAAGTACAAACTCCCCAGTGAGTCACATTTTCTAGGTTTTCCCTGGCTAGAGAGGAAATAAATGATAACACCATCTTTTCCGATCAGTCTTCAAATTCTGACATCCCTTAGTCCTTAGCCATTTCTCTCCCACAACTCCTGCAACCAACCAACAACACCTTCCCTAACTTAAGCTGTATGATCACACTTTTTCCTAACAAAGGGATCAATTCTGGGCCTCCTTCCCAGGGGAAGCTACTACCCTCAGAGGCACAGTGGTATGTGGGAACACTCACATTTTTGAAGAAATGGCGGGCGACTATTTCAGGGTTTAGTTCCCATTTGACGTTGTTCTTCATCCCCACTTCCAGGTGACAGCTTCTCAGAAATTTCACTGTCTGACAGAAATTATAAACAGGGAATAGGTTAGAGTTGCAATCAAAGAAGAAGAAACATGTTAGCAAGAGGCACAACGTCTGAGTAGAGGAAAAGGGCACAATTTCTGCTTCACAAGCATACAGGTGAGAAGATGACTGGGAAAGAGAAACCTTCTTACTGTCTCACGGCTGATTTTGTAGGAAGGTGTTTTAGTAAAACTTTGGAGGAGAGGGTCACCTATACCTGGTTGTTCCTAAGCAAGGAGAAACAGGCCATGTCAAAGTTAGACCTATCAGTGGGGATCAGTGGTAGATCTCAGGACAGATCGACTTTTTCTTTTCTTTTTGAGAGAGAGCGTGCATGAGTGGGGAGGGGCCTAAGGAGAGAATCTCAAGCAGGTTCCACGCAGAGCACAGAGCCCGAAGTGGGGCTCGATATAACAACCCTGAGATCATGATCTAAGAGGAAATCAAGAGTCGGACGCTTAACCGACTGAATCACCCAGGTGCCCCAGGATAAAATGACTTTCTTTTCTTCTTCTTCTTTTTTTTTTTTTAAAGATTTTATTTATTTGACAGAGAGACACAGCGAGAGAGGGAACACAAGCGGGAGGAGTGGGAGAGGGAGAAGCAGGATTCCCGCCGAGCAGGGAGCCCAACACAGGGCTCGATCCCAGAACGCTGGGATCATGACCTGAGCTGAAGGGCGATGCTTAACGACTGAGCCACCCAGGCGTCCCCTAGAATGACTTTCAGAGACCATATTAATCCAATACTTCTGGCCCTTCAATCCTACCCCTACTCCATTAATAATTTCTCCCTGCTTACAGAATGAAGTATAAATTCATTAGCTGAGGATTCAAAATGTTTTACAAGTCTTACCCCAACCTCCTTTCCAGCCACATGTTTTGTAATATTACCCTACATAAGTCCTCTGCTTTTGCTAGACTGGTTTACTTTCCATGTTAAAAACATGCCTAGGGCGCCTGGGTGGCTCAGTTGGTTAAGCGACTGCCTTCGGCTCACGTCATGATCCTGGAGTCCCGGGATCGAGTCCCGTATCGGGTTCCTTGCTCAGCAGGGGGTCTGCTTCTCCCTCTGACCCTCCCCCCTCTCATGTGCTCTCTCTCTCTCATTCTCTCTCTCAAATAAATAAAATCTTTAAAAACAAAAACAAAAAAAACCACATGCCTGAACCACCTATACTTTTTTTTCCCCCTTAATACCTTTCCCACCCTCCTGGTCTTTCCAAAGCCTACTAAACCCACAAGGCCTGGGGCGCCTGGGTGGCTCAGTCGTTAAGCGTCTGCCTTCGGCTCAGGTCATGATCACAGGGTCCTGGGATCGAGCCCAGCATCGGGCTCCCTGCTCCGCGGGAAGCCTGCTTCTCCCTCTCCCCCTCCCCCCGCTTGTGTTCCCTCTCTCGCTGTGTCTCTCTCTGTCAAATAAATAAATCTTTAAAAAATAAAAAAATAAACCCACAAGGCCTAATTCAATCCCGTCTGAAGAAAAGCCCTCTCCAATCACCTTTTTGATCTATGTCATTCTTATAATCTACTGCCTTGAGCTTACTGATCACGTTCTCATGTGTCTATGTTCTCTGTGACTTGTCTGTAAATATCAATGGAGGCAGAGCCCTCATCTCACACTTTTCCATGGGTCCCTGGTAATCAGGCTGCAGCCTTTCTCGATAAGCTAGGGCACTTCACCCAACAAGTTAGGATCTCCCAGGAGGTCTCAATACCAGTTATGGCAGCCAAACATTTCCTCTTTCTCCTATACTTGTCTCTGAAATCAGGAGATTTCAAGGAAATCAAGGAGCCTCTCAGAAAGAAATTGGTGACTCCTTAGGTGACAAATAAGTAACAACTTTCTATGTTTTTACTCACCATCTCACCTGCCTTGGTCTGGATCTTCTCTAATTTTCCTTCTTGTCTCAGCTAGAAAAGAAAGTTAAAGATGAAAAAAAAAAAGAAAAGAAAAAGGAGTCCATGATAAATATCGAACTTACTATGCTGGACATAGGCTGAGTTTCTGGGTTCCTGTTCTTCTAATCCCTATTTCATTTTTAAGTTAGACAGCAAAGGAAAGGAAGTTGTTAGATGAACTCTTAAGGTTTCTATTCCTCCAAGTCCCTCTGCCTTCCTTTGTGCTCACCAATTTCTCCTCCTCAAACAGTTTCTTGTTTTCAGGGGATGCATATACAGCCAGACCTTGAGGCAGTAGTCGATTCCGGCCCAAAGATTTCTTCACTGAGACCAGGTCACCCCGGACTCCAAGTCCTGCCAATAAGAACAGACACTGGATCAGACTACCTAGGAGTACCTAAAGAGGAGGAGAGGATCAAAGAAAGACGCACCTATCATTCTCTCATAGCAGTTATTCCTCCCAGAAAAAAATGTTCACTAAGAACAACACTTAAAGACTTCTAGTTAGTTTCTTAGGGCCTGATTTCGAAATTTAATATTCCCTGTACAAAGTGAGAGTTGCCCCTTAACAGGATTTCAGGAATTGTAGCACATGCTGTTAAGCCTCCTTTTCCCTCCACGCACTGTTACTGATGTTGTCGCATTCACGTTTCTTTTTCTATGCAGGAAGGCAAGGACACAACCATAGTCCTTTCTATGGCTTCTTCCTCTCAAATATAGAGATCATTTCTACAAAGTAGAGAAAGGACGAGAAACAGCTAAGAGGGGACGGCAGGGAAAAGCTGATGCCAAACAGAGCCAGCCTAAGATAGGAAGTATCTTTGCCGGGCCTTACCTTCCACCGACTGCGTGAGGATGAGCTCCAGGCTGCCTTTGGGCCCGTGTTTCGTGTCCTCTACCAGCCTGTAGACCCGGTGTCGCCGGTGTAGGCGCGGCTTCCGGCCCTCTCCGGCCAGCGGCACCTTCCACCAGCGCTCCACGATGACCGTGCCCTGGCAGCCGGGGAGCGAGGGTGAGCGAGTCTCCCGGAGAACCCCCTGCCGCCCTCGGCCGCCGGCACATGGATAGCCCGCCACAGCCAGGCCGCGGCCCCCCAGAACAGTATTCGGGCGTAAAGAGCCCCACCTGAGGCGAGGACCCCCAGAGCTCAGAGCTGGCCCTCACCCGACTGTGAGAGAGGCTGAAGTCGCGCTCCGGGCCCGGGGTGCCCCCTGCGAGTCGCGGGAGCACCAGCCCCCGCACCGTTCCTCGCAGCAGGGCCCTCCCCGCGACCGCCGCCATGTTCCCAGCGCCGAGGGAGAATGGAGGAGGACCCCAGCGCCGGCGCAGGAGAGGCCCCTGCGGCTGCCCGCGGCGCGCCTGAGCCGCCGCCGCTCTGGCTGGCGAAGCCGAGGGGCAGACCCGGCCCGGGTTGGACGGTGGCCTCGCCGCCTCGCGGCCGCCGGGACCTCAAGAGCTGAGGCAACGATCCGTGATTCAGCGTTTTCCTCATTTCCCCCTCCCTGTTTCTTCTCCGGGCAGGGACGCGCGTAGTTATCGACAGATCGTGGCATGAACCGGAAAAGACACCGTCTCCTTCTTGGCTTCACGTTTTCTTTAAAATGGGGGCTTTGGTTTATCTCTCGCAGCTCTGAGGTCACTTGCAGCTCTGGCATTCTGTGATAACTGGATGCTGAGGAAAGAGGGATGCAGCTCGCACTTTTCCTTACTTGAGATCTTCCTAAAAGTGGTGGAGGGATGGGATCCTCTGGAAAACGATGGCAACTCCAGGAGGAGGCCTACCCTTAATCTTTACAACTGTGGTACTCAAGCTAGCATTTAAAGAATTCTAAATCACAAAGGAGATAAGCCACAGAAAAAGGAAAGTATGGCAGTGGTGAGAGAGCAGAAGGCAAGCTGACACCCACAACCCCCACCCCACCTTGTGCTTTGTCCCCAGCTTGCCTTCCACTCCCTCAGCAGCCTGGTCCAGACTGTTCTGTGGAGGATCTCGGTAGTGGAGAGAAGGCCACATAGATGGAATGAGTAGGGTCTGTTTGGCAGCAGACATTGTGTGAAGGTGCTCTACGCATCCTGTTAGTTGACCCGTAAACGTCCTCACTCCTCCAATAATTACACTTGCCTCACTTAGCTTCCAGGACACCAATTTTGTTTCTGTTTTCTTCCTGCTTGGTCAGTTTTCTTCAGTTTGCTTTGCTGATTTCTCCTTTTCTCCGAACTATAGAGTGCCCCTAGGACAGTCTTCCCATCTTGACTCTTTTCAGTATACACACCCGCTTTGACCTCATTCAGTCTCAGTGACTTCCAAAGTTCTTTCTCTCTCCTAGACTTCTCCTGAACTCCAGACTTGAATAGCCGGCGCTTATTTGTCTTTTCCTTGTATATCCAACGGACAATTCAAAGTTAACATGCTTCAAACTAAACCCGTCTCTACCCAGCCTCAAACTGCCTCACCTGCAGCCTTCCCCATCTCAGTTGATGGAAACTATTCTTTCAGTTCTTGGACTCAACTTTTCTCTCAGACTTCCGGAAATCCTGGGGGTTCTATCTTTAAACTATTTCCAGAATCCAACCTCTTCCCACCACCTCCAGTGCTTCAGCCTGGAATAAGATGCTATCTTTCTCCTGGATCACTGCAGTAGTTTAGCAAATCTGCCTTAGTGTTCTGCAGTTTATTTACAACGCAACAGTCAGGATCTCTTAAAAAACATACATCAGATCATGTCATCCCTCTACCCAAAACTTTGCAGTGACTTCCCCTTTTACTCAGAACAAAAGGAAAGGGCCATACAGTCATCTACAGGGCCTCCCTAATCTGGCCAATTAGCGCTCTGACTTCATCACCATGCCCTCCCTGTTTCTTGAAAACACCAGGCACCTTGTCCTCAGGGCGTTTGCACTGGCTGTAGCTTAGGCATGGAATGCTCTCACCCCGAGGTGTAGGCTTGGCTAACTCCCCGACCTTTAAATCTTTGATTAAATGTCACCTTTTCATTGAAGCCTATGTGGATCACCCTATTTCTTTTTTTTTTTTACCCTATTTATTTTTCCAGCCTGCCCCACCCCCTTCACACTCCTGATCTTCCTTTATCCTCTTTTCTCCATAGCAGTTATCATCTAACATACTAAATTTTATTATGTTTATAGTTTGTCTTCTTACTGTTTTAAGATTTTTTTTTTTTTTTATTAGAGAGAGTGCAAGCAGGGGGAGAGGGAGAGGGAGACAGACTTCTTGCTGATCTGGGAATCCCACACTACAGGACCTGAGCCGAAATCAAGAGTCAGAGCACCTAACTGACTGAGCCACCCAGGCTGCCCCTGTCTTCTCACCGTTAGAAGCTAAGTTCCATTAAGCAGGGATCTTTGTTTTGTTTACTGGTGTATCCCAAGCACCTAGAATACTGCCTGGCTTTCAGTAGGCCCTCAATCAATATTTGTTGAATGGATGAGTGAATGAATATGCAGAGGTCTCAAACTGGTGGTCCCAGAATCAAATTTTGCTCACAATGTTGACTTTTTTTCATGAAGTTTTTGTCTTTTGAGTTAGTAGCCACTAGTTAAAAAATGTGGAGGAATTTAACACAAAAATCTATCTTTCCGTTTTATGTTGAAAAATCATACAATCTGGGACCACTGAGTCTGCATTTCTACAACTGGATGGAGCTGAGTTGTCAGCTTCTTTTAGGGTATGAGCTTTCCATTTTGCTACAGCCCCACCCAGCAGCTCCACTAATTCCATTAGCTGTCCTGGCTCCTGGAGGCTGTTTGCAATTTCTACCCTACAAGGCAATGAGATAATTCAACAATGTGTAGCACCCCTGGATTATTAAAGGTAGGGATATAATAAAACTATTGAATTGATAGGAACTGGGAACCAATGTATTAGGTCAGACATTGGATCAGGGCCTTGGAAGCCTACAGTGTTAGACACCAACCAGTTTGTTGCTCAAGTGGGATGTGTATATGTGTGTGTGTTACACGAGAGTGTGCACACATGTGAGTGCATATGCCAGAATAAGGAGCCAGGTTGGGTGCGCTTGACAAGTGCTCAGGCAGGGCTGTTTACCAATCAGTACAGAAGCTAAAGTATTCTAATCACTGGTACAGCCAGGAAGTACTTACTAGATGAACGGGATAAGGGGTTGGTTGGGTGGGGTAGGGGACCAGCAGAGTGGAGTCCTGAAGTGACATAAGGGCTAACCCCCTTGCCCATGTCATAGTGCCCACCGGGTCACAATGACACCAGGTTGTGTGAACCTCTGCCACCCATCTCTGAACCTCACTTTGCCGCAGGGAGGCACTGAACTGAGAAACTGCCTTGTAACAGGTTACACCCCTCTGCCTTCTCCCTTTCTTATATCAAGAGGGGAAAAACACGGAACTACCTCTACCCGATCTGGTCACCATACGCCTATTACCTTTACTGTTACAAATACCGGATCACCCTCCGGAAGAAGATGCTGCCTTGTTGTTATAAAAGGTACTTGTTTTCATCTGTACTTGTAGTTGTTTATATAAACTGTCAGGAAAAATAAAAGAATTTGAAGGAAATTCCCAAGTGGCAAGAGATAATAGCAAAAGGGGGTGGAAGGCTGGCATGGAAATTTAAAATTTTTCCATCTGGCTGGCCTGGGAGAGTGGAAACAGGCTGGTCCACAGAAGATACCGAAGATAGTGCCAGAGCCCAGTCCTGTGTTCCTGGAAGTTATGAGCCTCTCTCCTTCTCAGACACAGAGGGAAACTAATTTGGGCCCATTTTCCCAACCAGCATCACTTATAGGGAACGGGAGGACTTGACACTCCGGCCCCGTTCCTGCCTTCAGTGCTCCTGAGTCCCTAGCAGGCCTCCAGGTGGTCAGAAGCACCAAGCAGGGTGATCACGACCAGCTTAAAGAATTATACTCGGTAAGTGGCCTCTGTGCTGGGGAAGCCCCTAGCTTGCTTCAGTGACACCTTGTGAAGAAGGGGCATTATTGGCTAGTTGGAAAATAAATTGTAGATTTTGGAGCTCATGTATAACAGCTAGTTGCTTTAGAAACAAGGATTCTGGCCCAGAGATATCAAGTCAAGATCACAGAGCTGGTGGTGAAAAGCTTAATGGGAAAAGAGGAGGTGGGAACAAAGAGCAGAATGTAGTAAGGCTTCTGGGACATAAAGCTGTTTCACTGCTAAGCAGGGACTAGAAACCAGAACTCCTCAACTTGCCCCTCTATCCTGCTGCAGTAATATGCCTGTGGGTGACCTCTACATTTTAAAAGAGAAATAGAATTCAGAGAAAACCCCTATCACGGAAAAAAGTGGAAGAGCATTATCAGTGAGACAGTAAACAAATGACACAGCGTCGTTTAAAGCAGCAGCCCTCTGATATGTTTCTGAAGGGTTGGTGCGCCTCTCAGGTGAGGTCAACAGGCAGTAATACTGCCACTGCACTGACTCCTTTCTAGATTGTTTGATATCAAGGAAAGCTCCACGATAGAGACTTAGGTCCTAGGACTAAGGGATAAAGACTTTGGCTCCAATTCTCCCAGGCTCCGTCAGCTCCCCGTTAGCTTTCTCAGACCCAGCCAAATCGGCCTGCGATCTGAATTGAGGTCGAGATGAGAATAGAAGACTATTATTCTCTTATTCCTCTTCCAGGCTGGGAACCTGACGGTGCTGGCTACTGACCCCCTGCTCCATCAGGACCCAGTGCAGTTAGACTTCCATTTCCGCCTCACCCCCCAGACCTCTGCCCATTGGCACGGCCTTCTCTGTGACCATCGACTCTTCCTGGATATCCCATATCGGGCCTTGGATCAAGGCAACCGAGAAAGGTGACTGAGCCCAGATGGAAAAGCAGGGAAAGCGGGGGGGGGGGGGGGGGGGGGGGGCAGAGGGAGAGGGAAAGAGGCAGGGGCTTTCCTTGTTTTATGTCATAATCAGGTAGTGGGTATGCTAACCACTGAGGGTTGATTCAGAAGCTAGATACTTTCACACCACTGAACTGGCATGCAAACAAGCCCATGAGCTGAGCCAAAATCTGGGCTTCAAGGAGTCACAGCCCATGGGAGGCTGCTGGACTCCGATTCAGAAACATAGAAGTGAGGATCCTTAAATAGTTGAGTAACAGGACGTGCCTTCCAGCTGTTTGTCTTTATATAGCAGTTCCTCTCTCCAGGCCCCTTCAGGTGTCAGTCTTATCGTGTACAATCCCTGGCCTTCAGAGGACAATCTATCAATGCAAGTTCATCAACTTTCACTTCCTGGCTTAGGTCAGGAAAAATGGAACAATAAGGTTTCTTCTACTCCAAGCAGGGGTCTGGATTTTTAGTTCACTAAATATTAACCATGATTCTTCCCTCTGGCCCCTAGTTTGACTGCAACACTGGAGTATGTGGAGGAGAAGACCAATGTGGACTCCGTGTTCGTAAACTTCCAAAACAACCGGAATGACAGAGGTGGGGATCAGCTGTCCTTCCTGGCCCATGGTGCTGAAGCAGCTGACAGCAACTTATTCCTTTGTAGGAGACTCTTCCCCCACTCTTTAGAAGAGAACGTGCTCATAGGCATTTCAGGGATTTAACCACCTCCCTCCCCCGCAAGGAAATGAAGGCACCGAGCACTCTGTGCATTCAGATTACACTGGGATTATGAGGAAGGCCCTGCAGGTAGAGGTCAAAAGCCAGACTGAAGCAGCACTAGTGAAATTAACACAGAACCATTCAAGGCATGTAGCTGGTGGGACAGAAAGGACCTCAAACATATTAAACACCTACAGTGTGAAGGGGTTGAACACAGGGCCAGGAGGATAGGAATATATTTACCCAGATGCTTGGAGCACATGTTGCAGAAACCACCTCTTCCCTCATACTTGTTAGAGGACAGAAGACGGTCAAGAGTTTACTACACCATCATTGTGTTGGGCTTCATAAACATCAGCTCATTTAAATTCTCTGAGGAAGGTTCTATGATCCCCATCTTACAAATGAGAAAACTGAAGTTCAGAAAGGTTAACTTGTAGAATGTTACAAAGGTAAGTAAATGTTAGAGCCATGGTTGAAGTCTAAGTCAGCTAGTCCACAACACGTCACCCTAATGCCTACACTACACGGCTTTCTCCCAGCCACTCCCCAGTGAAGGAAGCCAAATCTGGGGGGAATAGTTGTATGGAACCTCAGAGTGTTTTCTATTTTTTTTTTCTCTTTTCACAGGTGCCCTGCTACGGGCCTTCAGCTACATGGGCTTTGAGTTGGTCAGACCCGATCACCCTGCCCTCCCTCCCTGGGACAATGTCATCTTTATGGTGTATCCCCTTGAAAGGGACCTTGGCCACCTCTCCAATGAGCCTCCCTGAACATACTTATTCCTGCTGAGGGGATAATGGGAACTTGATAAATGGGAACCAGGATGTGATGCAGGACACCTTCCATCTTAGGAATAAAGGGTAGTGCAATCCTCAAGTGTTCACTTTTCTTGGGGGGAAAGCGAGTTGGCTGAAGTGGAGTGGAATGGGACCCTTATAGAGCTGAATTCACTATAGGATAAACATTTAATGATGGAAAAAAATCAGAGGGACCTGCACCAGAGAGGGAAGGGAGCCAAGGATTTTAGGTTTCTTTGCCTTCCCCCCTACTCCCAAAGCCATTTACTTATCCTAACCCTGTACTGAGTACTTGCCAAGAGCAAAAACCAGGCACTATGGAATTCAGAAAGACTTAAGCCTTGTTGGGAGATTTTTGTCCATCTATTTCAGTTCAAATTAGAGAAATACTAATTCCTTCTCTTTGGATGTGGAGAAAATCCAAGAAGGTACCTGGATCCCATAGCTTTGGCTCAATGGGAGGATTTCAACAGACAAAATGAGAAGTAAGCATAGAAGAGGAAATTCCACACAGCAAGAAAAGTACAGGATTGTGTTGAAAGAATAAGGAACCCATCTGATTGGCAAGACTTAAAAGCCGCATTAAAGGGACAGACTTAGCATTCACAGTAACAGACTGCAGCCAGGAATGAGGCATCACTCATTTTCCTGAGCACCAAGTCCTATGAATGATTTATATCAGGGACCCCTCTACTTAAGGGTAATTGCCAAGGGGCCAAGGAGCCTGGTGACTAGTGGGCCTCATGACCTGATTGTCGAGCAGCACCAACCCCAGGGCCAAGCCTGCTTCAGGGGTGGGTTCACTGCAGCCAAGGTCTGAAACCTTGCCAGATCAATGGCAGTCCTTCACGGATTCTTCCAAGACCCCATAAGCTACTCATCAGAGATGCTCCTTCACTGGAGCCTTTCTGCTAAATGGTACTGAGATTTTTCTGAGAAAATATACTTTGAAAATTGTGGCTATGGGAAAACATAGTCGCCATGCAGTATATGGGAAGGCCTAATTCCTAGATTTAAAACCCTGCATAAGGCATCCTTATGTGCTAGTTTTAAGTTTTGCAGTTCACCTTACTGATCCTTAAAAAGCCCTCCCTGTTCATTTGCCATTAATCCACCACCCACATTGCTGCTTATAATGTCTGCTTCCAAGTCTCTTCACAGTGCTCACTGGCCACACACTACTACCCCCAATGCGGGGAGACATAAGGACATGGCTCCCAAAGGTCTTGCAGTAAGTTCACATAGTGGAGATCTGCCAGAACCCAGGCCTCTTCTTCCAAATATCTAGTTTGGGTAGGGTCTTTTTTTTTTTTTTTTAAAGATTTTACTTGAGAGAGTACACATGCATGTGAGTAGGGTGGGGGTGGGGGGGAGGGGGAGAGGGAGGGGCAGAGGGAGAGAATCTCAAGCAGAATCCCAGCTGAACAAGGAGCCTGAGGCGGGGCTTGATCTCAAGACCCTGAGATCATGACCTGAGCTGAAATCAAGAATCAGACGCTTAACTGACTGAGCTATCCAGAAACCCCGGTGGGTTCTTATTTATATAACCTAAACCTAAATTGGTCTGGTTCTTAGTGAATGGTTAATTCTGAAGTAACTTTAGGGAAAGGATAGGATCTGTGCATGAGAAGGACACTTGTTTCAAAGATGGGCCATCCCTGTGAAGCATGTGACAAATTCTACCAGGTTTAAGTTTAGAAGATACCCACAGGCCTGCTTCCACCTTGATTCAACCAACATTTAGTTTTAGATAATTTTCTTGAGAACTTTATTCAGCAAAGAATCCCCCAAATGATTCAAACAGCTATGTAAGTTCTCTTTCACTCTATGGATGTCCATACACATATAGATATTACACTAGCACTTTAGAACATTTCCTGAGCTGCTCTCTCCTTGCCTACTTGTATTTTAACCAAAGTTTACAGGGAAATAGCTGGAGCAACTGTTTCAAAAACCTATCTCCAATAACATATCAGCAGTTAAGGCTGGGAGGCAGTGTTCTCTTCCCATTTCCTGAGGCTTTTTAATAGAATTATACTGATTTCTGCCTCTGCCTCCTGACTCAACTGCAGTCTTTGAGTTCGCCAAAGACCTCCTTTAACTAACAGTCACCTGATGAGGTGAGTCAGAAGTCTGCAGAATCATCACTTCCAATGACCAAACCCTGGCTGCTTCCCAGCCTCAAAAAGGACACAGCCTTGCGGAAGCATAGATCAATGCCTGGCAGAAAACAGTGAGCCAGATGTTGAGCAGCCTGGAAGCAAACTCTGGAAGAAGACGGGGTCGGGCAGGTGGAGTGGGGACATGTACTTGTCCCCCTCTACCCCACACTCTTTCTGGTAGTCCAATAGACGGAAAGAAAGCATTTGGTCCACAGCAAGCCAGATCGTGTATGTAACAGAGGAAGGACTGCATAGATCTCTTTATCATAGGTTCCTCTCTCCAGGCACCAAATCCTGCCAAAGACACAAACACACAGAGACACAAAACGCTTGAACGGGCTCAGCCTGAGAGTGAAGCTGCAGGAACTCAGCTGCAGAGCAGTGTTCAGACAGGCTATGGCAAAGAGCAGAAGGCAAGGCCCCGGTGGTCACCCTTGTTACGTTCCGGTGGCTGCAGAGGAGAGCTGCACTCACGCGGCAAAGCAGGCGGCTGAGGCGGCAGAAGCCAACTTCAGAGTAAGTAGTCATCGTCCAGGTTGTCGTCACCAGATATGGAGGCAGCTTCTGCTTAGCAGGGATGGAGAGCAAGTTAGGCATGGCCACTGAGACTCAAGGACAAATGGGCTTCTTGGTGCTCAGTGATCACTTTGGTTAAGAGCCAAGCTTTCACATCATTCCCGGTTTAGAGAGAATCACTGAAAACCAGTAACTTCTAAAGATGCTCTAGGGAGGAAATGCAGCTTGTACCTGATAAGCTGAGGCAGGACAGGGTATTTGCTATCTCTCCAGGGCTCTTCTTGGTCTCAGCGAGCACGCTGCCGAGCGAGACATCGGTTTCTGTGGCCTGCAGGATGAAGACAAGAGAGAAAGGAAGAACGTAGTGTTGGCTGGTGGGAAAGGAGAGGCCACCCCTATCATTCTGCCCACAGGATCTGGTTAAGGCAGTTGAGTTTGGCCGCCAAGAGGGACACAATGCTTCCCTTTGAGCAACCTGTGGAGCAACTCCTTAGGAACGCCTTCCACAGAATGCCCGCAGGACTAGAAGCCCTCCTATCTCTCTAGGTGCGAGACCTGCCCTGAAGCAGCACCCTGCATGTAGCCACAATGGCTCACTCACCACGTCATGCAACATGTCTGGGACAGCTCTGTTTTCTTCCACATCTTCCGGGAGCTCAACTGCGTATCCTTTACGAACTAATTCTAACCCAATATCAAGTTTCTGAGAAGAAAATGAAAAGGGAATAATGTTCTCTCTGTAGGGATGTGAATACCTGAGGAACTAGGACAGAAGAGTTAGGATACTTCAAAGACATTCCTTTAGTGGGACAGTAAGCAGGATCTTACGAGGTAGGAGTAGTATTAGATAAGGGTTTCTAGGAAAGAAAAAGTGAATGAGACTATAAATATACTGAAGAGACAGTGAGCAATGAGTGGACCCCAGTCGTACCTTCCCACTGCTAGTATCATATAAGTAAATCTTGGGCCAAGTTGAGATCCCAGTCTGGACATAGCTGGAGATCTTGGCCACCAGGGGCTTCCAGTCAGCACAGTGAGTGAGTCTGTCAAACTCATCCAAAGCTTCCTCTTCCCACTGTTCACCTGGTAAAAGATTGCAGGGAGAACCTAAGAAGCGGTCCCTGCTGACGGGGTGAGATTACACCCTGGAGGGAAATTGGAACCACCCCTTTCTACTCTAAAAGGCACCTATGTCTGCCTACCAGGCTGCTGCTTTCTACCGCTGGGGAGGAAAAGACACCTGAGCCCCCAGAACTCATAAAGTCTGGGAATGTGAGAATTCCTTCCATGTGCCCTATGAAAGTTATTCTACGTGGAGGCAAGGTCAATAGGCCATGTGACCAATTTACCTGAGGGGGCGATCCGTGCCAGACTACACTCTATTGCTTGGAATGGAAGGCTTAGGAAGTCACTCCTAAAGTGAAAGAAACCGAAATTAGAATCCCAGCGCCAGAAGGGTCTCTTATAGTCCTTGTTTCTAGAGATCACCAATTAACCCAGCTGGAGAAGATAATCATCTGCTCTCTGTAAATCGGTTCTTTTCCCAATCCCCCTACATGATGAGTGCCAAGAGCACATCACCAGCTATGGTCAAAGGCTGAGTTAACAACTGGGACTCCACCCTGGCCTCCACACTGACCTGAGTGCCCGGAGGTCCTTCAGTGGGCAATCTCCATTATCTCCAAAGTCAACGAAGTAGAGGTCTAGGTTCCCATTCTCCAAGGTGCCAAGGACCCGAGCTCTATACCAGGAACCATTTGTAGGTAAAGGTGCTGCTACAATGTCTCCCACGTGCACAGTCAAGTCTTCAGGCTGCACATGGGGATGAGGATCAGGATGGGAGGTTAGGATGGGCAGGCTCAAAAACAGATAAGCAGGAAGTACCAGAAGGAAGAACAAACAAGTAGTTGCTTCCCAGGAAAAGAAAAGAACATATCACAATGAAAAAGAGATAGGCCTCTTTTTCATCAAACCCAGCCCTGTCCCTATGGCAACTCACTAGACTATTCTCATAGTGCTGGGTCATCTCACTGACAAGCTTATCCAGCTGCAGGCTGCGGGAGCCAATGATTTGGATCCAGAAGTGGTTGGGATGTTCAGAGGCAGAGACATAGACTTCCAGGAACTCATCGGCATGGAAACTGAAGTCAGGGCTGGGGACTAAACACAGGGATAAACAAGTTATGCTACAGAATCCTCACCATCTAAGCTGGTGACCATATCAGAATCATCTCTGGTTGAAATGGGGAGACGGTCTCAGAGGTGAGAGATACAAACACCAAGTGGCTATTACCATTTAAAAAATGGCTGGAGGGACAACTGGATGAATCATACAAGAACATCCTGAAGATAGGTCCTAAGTTGAGCTGTGTACCTTTCTATGTAACTGAGCAGTAAGAGTTTACATTCCTAGTCATCTGCCATGTATTCAAATCAGACACCAATTATAACAAAGGTAAATCCTCCATATGCCTGCTGCAGCACGGACCAGTGGAAAGATGTGGGCCTGTTCCAGATCTCATTCTATTACTGACTCATTATGTGACCCTGGACAAGTCTGCGAACCTCTCAGGGGCTCTGGTTTTCCCTGTCCCCATCCCAGAACCTACGCACAGAAGAGAATGCTCACAGTCGTTTCATTCTTAATGGTGATGATTTTTAAAAACAGTAATGAGATAAGCCAAAAAACAAAAAACAAAAACCAAACAAACCAGGCTGAGTATTTTACTTATTTAATAAATCTGTGAAAGAGTATCATGTAAATTCAATTATTGGATATATTCAGACTATTTCCCGTGAACTAGCACATTTTAAGATTTTAAGTAATCTCTACACCTAAGATGGGGCTCAAACCTACAACCCTGAGATCAAGAGTCACATGCTCTACTGACTGAGCCAGCCAGGGGCCCCATGAACTAGCATATTTCTGTATCATTCTCCATCACTAGCTGGTCTGTGTTCAGAAATTATTTATGTTTAGTACTAACTCAAGTAAAATATTACCACACAAAGGGACATCTGTGAAGAGACTTATAAGTGCAATCAAGAAAACAAATTGTTCTTACTGCTTCCTATTTTGGGTTATCTAAGCCAGTATTTCTATTTCTACCTTCCATATGGCAAATGGGTTCCCACTTTGTTACATACTTTCAAACATGGACATCTCTGGACTGGTCTGGGCTCCAGATTTCTGAAAGCTGTCACCATTAGGTTTCTCCCAAGCACCTTCTGGCCCTACAACAGCCGTGTCACCGCCTCCTTTTTGGGGAGGAGCTCCCAGTGGTGTAGCTGGCTCCAGCTCTGCACCAGTACCAGCGTTTTTCCACAAAGCTGGCTCTCCAGCTCCACCAGACTCTGTCACTTCCTCTCTTCTTACACTGATTGGCTGCTTGCGTGGGACTCTGGTTTCTGCAGAATGAGCAATTCTTTTCCGAAGTTCTTCATCTTCTGAAACTTTCTCCAGTATCAAATGCTGTGGTAAGAGATGAGATCTCTGTGGCCAGATATTTTCACCCAGGATGGAGTAAAGGGTTCTCATTCTTAGACACAACTCAAAGCTATTAGCTACTTGCCTTGGCTGCTGCCACTTCCTTTTGTGTTCCTGAGATTTTTATCAATCTTGATAGTAGCAATGTCCCCTCTGATTCTTTGTCACAGGTAATCTTGGCTCCAGAGGCCTTACAGATAGAACGAATGGTCTCCCCACCTCTCCCTGCATTGAAAAGCACATAAAAACCTGTCCTTCCCTCCTGGTCAAACGTAACTATTAGAAAAATCACTATTTTGTATATGCTGGGAGAGAAGTCAGTTCTCATTTCCAAAGTGAACAAAATTTAAGATATTGAGTAGAAGCAGGAGCTACTGCAATCCTTACTGTAAAAGGGGGACTAGGGACTATCTGCTCTTTCTGCTTAAACTCTTGGTTAGTGTAACTTCATGTCATTTACATTTTTTGATCATTCAGCATACTTTACACCTACACTTCAGAAGAAGATATCCCACACTGTGTGTGAAACACTGGGCCAATGATGGACATTTCTCTACCTCTAAGAGCAGCATAAGGAATGCCCTTGGCGAAGGCATAACAGAAAAGCACTATCTTTAAAGATCTGGGATAACATGAGCAGGTTTAGCTTCCCTTTAAATATCTATTATGAGATAAATACATTTACCTGAGCCCTTCTGGAACCTATTTGTAAGGTTCAGATCACATAACTTCTTGAGGTAATGGGTTTTGCTTTACCACAGGCTGTATAAAAAAGTAAAGCTCTGGTATCAATGTCCCTGTCTTTTTTCCCCCCCTCAGCAAGGTGAAGGGAAGTAGGCCAGAAAAAATCCTTGGGAAGGTGTGAAAGAAGGCAAAGGTGAAGAAAAAAGGAAGCTGTCCAGTGGTACCTATGATCCTGCCCACGGATCTCTGGGGAACTGAGAGCTGCTCAGACACGGGGGTATTCTCTGTCAGGATCTGATGGATGGCTGCTTTGGCCTTGCACACCTGAACAGGAAACCCACTGATAAGCAGCACCCGTTCATCGCCTACATCCTCCGTGTCCACATCAATCCGAGCACCTGTCTGTTTCCGCAACTGCAGAGAAAAGGATACATGGCTGTACGCTCTGGAACAGCTCCCGTTTGGGTCAGCGAGGTACACTCTCAACCTAACCCTGGAGGTAGATGCAACTGGACAGTAATCAGCTAAATCAGGATGTTATAAGCAGTCTTCAATTACCTGTACTTATGAAAGGAGATTAGTGACAAAGCTAACCTCAGATAGCAGTTAATTCAAAACAGTTTCTCTTTGTGTTTTGAACCCTCTTTCCCCCTAATTTTTTTTGGAGAATCAAATATTTTGTTTTGACATTCCAAATGAACAACAGAAGAATTAGGTAGCAACTCAACTTTTACTACCAATTAACGAGAGCTCATTAATTCCATAGTAGAAAAGAATGGTTCAAGCTACACCAAGTTGAGAATCATGCAATCAAAAGTCCCCATTTCAAGCTGAGTCATTCATGCTCTAGGGAGAAGTACTCCTCTCTAGAAGGAAAAGAGCATAGTTAACTAAAAGTTCCTGTATTTTTTCTTTTAAAGACATACATAGTGTGGGATGGGGGCAGAGGAGGAAAGCAAGATTAAGCAGAATCAATCTCTGGGAAAGCCAACTGCTTGCTTGCACACTTACCTGTTTAATATTGGCTCCTTGCCGGCCAATGATGAGCTTCACAGCCTCCTGGGGAACTCGCATCTCTATCTCAATGTCGTCCTCCCCAACAAATGTCAACCGCTCTTCTGCACAGATCATGACTCATCAGATCAGACTTAGATAGCATCCAAGGTACCCCAGCCCTCCCCCGAAGCTAGCTGTCAAAGAGAATGATCCACGAGATAGACGGAGACTCTCAACCATAATGACAAGAAGTAGCATCTGAGTAGGAATGAGAGGGTCCCAGAAGACCAGAACATGGGCATTATCTCTGGGATACTATTAAAGATGCTAAAATGGGGAAAGTATTTGGATCTGCAAGGAGGGGGTGCTGGATTTTGGGCAAACTGGATCTCCCAAGAGAGGACTCCTAGAGAAGAATGAAGGTTAAAATTTGCCCAAGGAGTCCACTGGGCTCAGAACTTCCATTTGTACCTAAATCCTTTCTCTAGGTTCTATTCTCTAGGTCCAGCCTGTGGGGAAACTGGATCCCATGGTTAACCTTCTAACAACCAAACACAAGAAGCATATAAAAAAAGATAAATAAGAGTATAGATGCTGAAAAAAAAAAGAAGAAAAAAGACAAAAAAGAACTCTTGTGGTGCTGCTGTTGAAGGGAACAAATCAAGAGAATTATGAAATGAGTTTATCATTTCATAGGCTCGCTGCACATTAAGAACATAGAAGAAAAAAGAGTTTCAAAGATCCCTCACAGAAAGCCAATTACATCCCAACAGACATACCCAGTCTAGCAAGGAAAATTTTCATTTCAATTTAACAAGGCCAGAGCACATTCTGAACATTTCCATATGCACAGCTGTGGGGTTCACATACCTCTGCTTTCCCTGTATCTGCGGTATAGGATATAGGCAACCGTTGCACTGGCTGGGATCCCGAGGCCCAGTGCTATTTTCTGAATAGTGGACAAACTTGTCCAAGAAGTTCGTTCAGTGGACATTTTCTGTATTCAGACTTACATCCTGAAATAAGTAAATGAGGGAAAAGAAGCAGCTTTCATCCTATACCTTTATGACTGGCAGAGAGGCATGGGAACATATTACAGTATTATTAAAAAGAATACTACTACCAACCTTTCCATATTAAGGGCCTGAGCTGTCTCAAAATCTTTTTTTTTTTTTTTTTTCAAAATCTATTTCATGTAAAAGGTCTCAGGGCATTTTTTCAAAGTTGCTAAAGGACATATATAATTAAAGAGAGGCAAACTTCATTCCCTCCCCCCCCCAAGGAAAACCATACATTGACCACAATTTAAAAAAAATTATTTATTTGACAGAGAGAGTGCGCACAAGCAAGCAGAGGGAGAGGGAGAAGCAGGCTCCCCACTGAGCAGAGAGCCCGACACAGGGCTCGATCCCAGGACCCTGGGATCATGACCTGAGCCGAAGGTAGATGCCTAACCAACTGAGCCACCCAGGCGCCCCATTGATCACAATTTTGTAAGATGAAGGAACAAAAAAATTAAATGAATCAAACATTACAAAAATATACCTTTAGATTTCACATCAGACTACTTAAAATTGCTTATCTGTGCCCTTCCATGCCTCTAGGCCTTTCCAGAAGCTGTTGTCTCTCCAAGGAATGGCTTTCCAGGCCCAGTTTTATTTATTTTTTAAAAAGATTTTATTTATTTATTTGAGAGAGAGAAAGATGGAGCGAGTTCATGAGCAGGGAGAAGGGCAGAGGGAGAAGCAAACTCCCCGCTGAGTGGAGAGCCGGATAAGGGGCTCCACCCCAGGACTCTGGGATCATGACCTGAGCAAAAGGCAGATGCTTAACCAATGGGGCCACCCAGGCGCCCCTTCAGGCCTAGTTTTAGGCTCTGCTCCTTCTACTTCTTTTATTCTTTTATCTCTACTCCTTATTTCTATTTATTCCTCAGCTAACACTGAAAGGAGGTCTGCCCTGCTCCTTCACCAAAACTACAACTTTCCGTATAGTCAACCTTGATGGCACATATAAGCCCTATCTAATGTCACCTCTGCACCTTCTTTATCTTGGTTTCTCCTCTTTCCCTGGAAGTGCCTTTGCAGTTTTGGGCTTGCCTTTCTGTGGCCTCTATCCACTGCTACTGTCACTCTGCTGTCTTAGGGCAATTTCATCCACGCCTGCAGCTTCAACTAATGACTCCAACAACACTGCCCCTGACTGATTCAGAAGCTCATCAAATCTCATTTGGACCACTGGCCTTGTTGCTTTTTGTCTGGCACTGTATCTTCATTTTGCTGCCAAGCTAATTTTTAAGATTTTATTTCTTTGAGAGCAGGAGAGAGTGCAAGCACAGGCAGGCAGAGGGGCAGAGAGGGAGAGGGGAAAACAGACTCACCTCTGAGTGGGGAGCCGGATGCAGGACCCTGGGATCATGAGCTGAGCCAAAGGCAGACACTTAAATGACTGAGCCACCCAGGCGCCCATCCGCAAAGCTAACCTTAACATCATCACTGTATTTCCTTATTCCATAACCTCTCTCACCACGCTCCCAGGCAACTCATACCATCTCTTCTCAAGCCTCTAGCACCTCCTCCATCCTCACTCTCAACTCATGTCTTACTTTCTATGCCACTGAGAAAGTACAGCATTCAGAGAAAATATAAACTAAGCTCCACCACACTTACCCACATACCTCTATCTATGCCCAAATCCCTCCTTTCTCTCCTGTGGCCATGGATGAACGGTCTCTGCTCCTGGCATTGAAGGCTCTCATAAAAGTGTTGCTCTCCTTCCTTCTCATGCATTGTTAATGTTTTCCTCTCTACTGGATCTTTATCTTTCCATCAGCAAACATGCCACTGTTTCTTGTTTCTTAAAGAAAACCCTTTCTTGGGGCGCCTGGGTGGCTCAGTCGTTAAGCGTCTGCCTTTGGCTCAGGTCGTGATCCCAGGGTCCTGGGATCAAGCCCAGCATCGGGCTCCCTGCTCGGTGGGAGGCCTGCTTCTCCCTCTCCCACTCCCCCTGCTTGTGTTCCCTCTCTCGCTGTGCCTCTGTCAAATAAATAAATAAAACCTTAAAAAAAAAAAAGAAAGAAAACCCTTTCTTGATTCCACTTACTCCTCCAAATACTTCTCATTTCTTCCGTTCCTTTTACAGGAAAATTCACAAGTGCTAATACTTCTGTGCTCAATTTCTCTTCTTCTTGAATCCACTCCTACTGTTCTTGCCAAGGTCACCAGTGACTTCCAATGGCTAAGTCCAATGGTTAATTCTCCGTCTTCACTCTACCTGCCCTCGCCCCCGTATCTGGCACAACTGGGGACTCCCCCTGCTCTGAGACCCTTTCTTCATTTGGCTTCCACAACGGTACTCTTCTGGTTTTCCTTGCCCGCTTCTAGCTGATCCATTAGTTTCCCTCTCCTGCTTGTAACCTCTAAAGACCACATTGCCCCCAGGGCTCTGTCCTTTCCCCTCTTGTGGGTTATACCTCACTTTCCTTAGTGATCTCACCAAGTTTCATTCATAGCTTGGCTTTAAATCCCACTTGGATGCTGATAACTCCCAAATTCATTGATCCAGTTAGGGCCGTTCTCCTGAACTTCAGGTTTGTATACCCAACGGCCTAGGAGACAACGTCTCCATTGGAGGTCTAATAGGCACCTCAAACTTAACAGGTACAATGCTGAGCTCCTAATCTCACCCCCTGCCTTGTAGTCTTAGCTTACTCAGTGAATGGCAAGTCCATTCTTTTAGTTCCTCAGGTTAAAAATCTTACTCATCCTCTCCCTCAAATAGCACCTTTAGTCTGTCAGCAAATCCTGTTCATTCTACCTTCAAATTATCCAGAATTTGACCACTTTTTACCTCTCTACTGCTAAGATGGTCGTCTTAACAACCATGCTCTAAACCATCATCTCTTGTCTAGATTATTGCAATCAATTATATCCCAGCATTTGCCATTGTCCAGTTTATTCTCAACAGCTGAAGTCAAATAACGTTACTCAGCCACTCAAAACCTCCCAGTGGTTTTCAATCTCACTATGATTATAAGCCAAAGTCATTATATTAACCCGTGAGGTCTTCATTTTGATTGTATCCCCAGTGGAATGTAAACTGCACAGGGCAGGAATTTTTGTTTTGTTCCTCAGTGCACATAGTAGCCAGTTAACAAACATTTGTTGAGACATTTCTGCAAAGAAGACATCCAAATGGCCAACAGACACATGAAAAAGTACTCAACATCACTCGGCATCAGGGAAATCCAAATCAAAACCTCAATGAGATACCACCTCACACCAGTCAGAATGGCTAAAATTAACAAGCCAGGAAATGACAGATGTTGGCGGGGATGCGGAGAAAGGGGAACCCTCCTACACTGTTGGTGGGAATGCAAGCTGGTGCAGCCACTCTGGAAGACAGTATGGAGGTTCCTCAAAAAGTTTAAAATAGAGCTACCCTATGACCCAGCAATTGCACTACTAGGTATTTACCCCCAAAATACAAATGTAGTGATCTGAAGGGGCATGTGCACCCCAATGTTTATAGCAGCAATGTCCACAATAGCCAAACTGTGTAAAGAGCCTAGATGTCCATCAACAAATGAATGGATAAAGATGATGTGGTATATCTATACACAATGGAATATTATGCAGCTATCAAAAAATGAAATCTTGCCATTTGCAACGATGTGGATGGAACTAGAGGGTATTATTATTATTTCTAAGCGAAATAAGTCAACCAGAGAAACACAAGTATCATATGATCTCACTGATATGAGGAATTTGAGAAACAAGACAGAGGATCATAAGGGAAGGGAGGAAAAAATGAAACAAGACGAAACCAGAGAGGGAGATAAACCATAAGAGACTCTTAATCTCAGGAAACAAACTGAGGGTTGCTGGAGTGGAGGGGGGTGGGAGGGATGGGGTGGCTGGGTGATGGACATTGGGGAGGGTATATGCTATGGTGAGTGCTGTGAATTGTGTAAGACTGATGAATCACAGACCTGTACCCCTGAAACAAATATATTATATGTTAATAAAAAAAATAAATTCTACTCACAAAACTGAAAGAAAAAAACCATTTGTTGAATGAATAAACTTCAGCAATTCTGCTATGTGAAAACTCATTAGTGGCATGAAAGGTTATTTTTTTATATTTTTTATTTTTTAAGATTTTATTTATTTGACAGAGAGAGACACAGCAAGAGAGGGAACACAAGCAGGGGGAGAAGCAGGCTTCCGGCTGAGCAGGGAGCCTGACGTGGGGCTCAATCCCAGAACCCTGGGACCATGACCCGAGCCGAAGGCAGACACCCAACAACTGAGCCACCCAGGTGCCCCTGAAAGGTTCTTTATAATCTAATCTCTGCCTACCACTTTCACAGCCTTATACTCTAATCCCACTGCTACCAGGGGAACAGGATGTGCTCTCCTGTGTCCCTTCTGTCTTCCTGGTCATACTCCTTAGCCCAGCTATCTCCCTGGCAAAACCCTACTCCTTCCTCACATCTCAGCTCTACTGCTACACTTCTGAGGCCTGTGGGATTTCCCGTGGCTGACTTAGGGTGAGTTTCTCCTTAGCTCCTGCCGCCCTGTGAATGAGACTTCCATGATAGCACTTGTTCACACTGTATGCAACTGTGTATCTGTTATGCCTGTGTCCTCGAGACTGGCTTCAAGCAGGCTAGGTCAACCACATCTATTAAGCACTTCTAGGTGCTAGATGTTATTGTGACACTAAGGATGAAAAAGAGGAAAAGATAAATGTACCGAGTAGCTACTACGCCACCAGGCACTTAACCTCCATTATTTTAGTTGATCTTCCCACAATCGTGTCAGGTAGGAAATGTTAGCCCCAATTTTACAGAGGAATATACCTGCTTAGAGAGGTTACCTCTTACCCAGAGTCTGGGTTATTATTTGGATATTAAAAACCTACAAAGTGACTTTAAAAGCCCCTCCCCCCTTTCTTTTACACAAACTGAGAACAGTAGTTGGTGTCTTTATTTAGGAAATTCAAAATTAATAAACAAACACTAGTGGAAAGCACTGTAGCTGGTAAAAAACTAAAGACAGTGTCTACTTCCAGACAGTACAATCTAGTAGAACAAAACAGTGTGGCTTTTAATGAAATTTACTTTAAAATGAGTGAGGAAATATAATTTATGCTATGATTTGCCTCCAGGTACAAAAATTCAACCCAGATGATTTGCTATCCAAGAAAAAAATGTTTTACCTTTAAAAAAAAACTGGTTCTAGGAAGGCTAAAAACATACTCATTAATATCGGACCTACTCAGGAATAAAACTTTGATTCTAAATGTGCTTTTCCTGAGGAGGAAAGAAAAAAAAAGAAACAGTGTTTTCTCTGAAAGCCTTTCAGGAAGGGTGATGAAGGAAAAGAGGAGACCTAGCACAGATATCTCATTCCAGGGACATCAGTGTGGCTCAGTTGGTTAAGTGTCTGCCTTCAGCTCAGGTCATGATCTCAGAGGGTCCTGGAATTGAGCCCTGAGTCTCCCTCTCCTTCCGCCCTCCTCTCCCCTCCCCCGTCATGCTCTCTAATAAAGTCTTTTAAAAAAATCTCATTCCTGGGGCACCTGGGTGGCTCAGTCGTTAAGCGTCTGCCTTCGGCTCAGGTCATGATCCCAGGGTCCTGGGATCGAGCCCCGCATCGGGCTCCCTGCTCTGCGGGAAGCCTGCTTCTCCCTCTCCCACTCCCCCTCCCCCTGCTTGTGTTCCCTCTCTTGCTGTGTCTCTCTCTGTCAAAATAAATAAATAAAATCTTTAAAAAAAAAAAATCTCATTCCAAGAAGCAGATAAAAATGTTAAGACTGCAGGTGGATTTCTTACTACATTCAGACAGAGGACCAAATTTTGCATCTGGACTCAAGAGCTTTACTGACCAGTAGAAATGAATAAAGTTCCTTAGAGAACCACCAGAAGTTTGCCTCTTTTTAAAATCTATGTTTTTAGACAATAGTTTTAAACAAATTTCATCCACTCTCTTTCCCACTCATGCCCAAAAGAGAAAAACCTTTTATTACCTGGGTGAGGGACCCTTTGCAAGTGTCTCGTTATTTCAGGCAATTCATTATTCAGTAAGAAGATCCAATATATACAGTATATCACTTCCGGAGATTTAGTATAGACATGGAGAAATGTAGCTGCTTTTTTTTTTTTCTTTTTTAGTGGGTAGGAAGAAAAGGATTGAGTTTAATGTGGGTTTGAGTTATGGGGTTCCTTTCCTAACTGGATAAAAAAAAATAATCAGCTTCTCTTTTTTCTAGGCTGTAAATAAAACCTTTCACTGCTCTCTGTGCAAGTTTGGGTGGTATCATGTTTGCATATACCAAAGGAAAGGAAACAAGCTCTGTTTCATAAAGATTTTTGCTTAAGGTCTTGAATTTTTGAACCTCAAACCGCTCTTTTCTTATATATATATATTTTTTAAAGATTTTATTTATTTATTTGACAGAGAGAAAGACAGTGAGAGAGGGAACACAAGCAGGGGCAGTGGGAGAGGGAGAAGCAGGCTTCCCGCCGAGCAGGGAGCCCGATGCGGGGCTCGATGCGGGGCTCGATGCGGGGCTCGATCCCAGGACCCTGGGATCATGACCTGAGCCGAAGGCAGACGCTCAACGACTGAGCCACCCAGGCGCCCCCGCTCTTTTCTTATATTAAGAGATGGTTTATTCTGGGTATCTAGAAAAGAGTTCACTTCTTTTATCTAGTGGTTACTTCATATATTTTCTTATGTGGTCTCTAAAGTGCAAAGCTCATCTTCACTATTATAGTGCCTCATTTAAATAGTGCTAGCTCTTTGTTATGGGCTGAGCATGCTGGGGACACAAGTAGGAATGAGAATTCTTGCCCTGAAATACAGTCTAGGAGGAAAGATAAAACACCAAATTACAACACACTAATTACAGGCAATGAAAAGACAATATGAATTCTTGGTTAAAGCAACAGCTGGGGGTGCCTGGGTGGCTCAGTTGGTTAGGCGTCTGCCTTCGGCTCAGGTCCTGATCCCAGGGTCCTGGGATTGAGCCCCGAATTGGGGCTCCCTGCTCAGCGGAGATGAGGGGGGGACTGCTTCTCCCTCTCCCTCTGCGTTCCCTCTACTTGTGCGCTTGCTTTGTCAAATAAATAAAATCTTTAAAAAAAAAAGGCAACAGCTGGGGGGAGCTAGAACTTAAAAGATTTTTTTAGATGGCACAGAGTTGAAAACTACCTCATTAAAATACAAATCATTTTTCTTCATCCAAACCAATAAATATTGAGTAGCCAATGTGTGGTTGGCCCTGGGGGATATAATAGTCCAGACAGACTTGGTAGCTGCCTTCATGAGGCTTCCTGTCGGCAGGGAAGGTCTTATCTTGACCGGCAAAATTGCCTGTAGGTGTTAAAGGTTTTGGGAAACAAATCTAGGCCTGTGAACAAGAGTGGTAACTTAATCCGCACTCTAATGCTGCCTTTTAACACCACCTTCTGGCCACAATTCATGCCTAAGAAACTACAGAATTTTAGAATTGGAAGGACCATAGAAATGATCGGATTCCACTAATAATGTTCCAACTGGGGAACTCGAAGCCCGGGGAAATAAAGGTTTTTCCCTAAGGTTACACAGCTAATTAGTTATTTCCATACAATGCCGTATACAATGTGGTTTGAAGACCAGTCACAAAGGCACCTCTTTAAGGAGACTCAAAAAACTAATAGCATTTTCACCCCAGTTCAGAAACCATCAAGATCAAGGCAAAAAAATATCTGATATTCCTCCGGCTCTGCTGCCAATTCCCCCCTCCCCAGTCCCAACTTTCCATGCTTGGTTAGGTTTCATCACTATGGGCTTCCATAGTACTCCAAACATCCCTTCACAACACATACGTTACTTGTAATTCTTGGCTGGGTCCGTAGTGAGAATGAATGGAAGGTAGCGAGTGTGGGGTAGGGAGACCAATTCAGAGGCTAGTTCAGGTGCCAATGATGGAGATGGAAGAGGAGAGTTTTACTAGGTAGAATACACACAAGATCTAACAACTGGTTCACGGAAAGGTTCAAGAGTGAGCCAAAGAGCTGGCTACCAGGGTCCTCATTTGAGCACCTGGTGGATGGTGTTTGAGACATAATATGATTTGGTGGTGGAAGGAATGTGGTGGGAAGATGAATGTCCATGACGAGGATGAATTTATTAGGTGACGTCTACTTGAATCGAGAGCTAAATTTCACTTAGCTCCTTTTTACATATTACAAATGAAGTTTGCGTTGAGTTAGCTTATGTCTCAAAGAATGAATATCTACTTGATTAATCAAGTATGATTTTGCTATAATATACATTTTATATAGTTTCTCTTTCAAAATAAGTGGGAAATAATATGATGGCAACAGTGATATAACTGTATAGTACTGAATGCCAATTTGTGTTTGATTTTATTACTTCAAATTGAATGTGAAAAGGAGGTTGGAATTTAAATAGGGGAAGCTGAGTAAAGAGGAGACATTGGATCATTTTAAGGTGAGAGATGCAGATAATGGTTTTCAGTAAAAACCAATTTTGAAATTTCTTGACATTTATATAAAACAGTTGCTGACTATTTGATATGTGTAAATAAGGCTTACTTTTTGTTATTTCAAAGACATCGTTAGGAGTCAAATCATTGTAAGCTCCATGGGGCAAGGATCTCTCATTCCCTTATCTCCAAATAACCAGAACCTACAAAGTAGCTAAAACATGGTGACAGGCCTGTTGAATTTAAGCAGCTCGTTCAATTTTCTCATCCTTGCCACATTTATTTTTAACCAATGAGTGAAGAAAGCCAAACCATTTCAAATGGAGAGTAGAGTAAAAATGTAGCTTTGACACGGGAGTCTTCAGTCAAAACCCGTGGGGGATAACTGCATTAGTAAGGAGGAAAACTGGGAAAACAAAAACCCCAATTTATTATTGTGCCGACTGTAAATAGTCATCCTATTAGAATAATTAAAGAAAAAGCTGGAGAAAATAAAAGGCAAACTGATAAACTGATGGCGGTTCTCAGTCTCAATAAAGATCACTCGAGGAGTCCAAAGTAGCTTGGGGCCAACACTCTGGCACCGGGTCCGTTGTGGGACCAGAGCATGTCCTCCGGATTCGGTTGGTAGCCCGGGGTTCGGCTGCCCATTCCCTCCAGACGCCTCCCTTCTCTCAGCGCCACATTCCCGCCTGCTTGTTGCCTGGGGCACCCCCGGCCCGGCCACTCACACTCCCCAAGCCTCCGCGCCCGGTCCCCGCCTTTACCGCTCCTCGAGTCAGCCGTCGCGCGCTCCGCCTCGCACCTCGCCCCAGCGGCCGTCGCCTCCTCCCTCTCGCACCGCAACTCGAGCCCCGCCTGCCTCGCTTCAGCGGCCTCTTCCCCGCCCCCCCAGCCCGCCTGCACCAATCAACGCCCGGCTCGCAGTCTGACCAATCGCCCGCCCCGCCACAACCTATCCTTCCGCGGGCTGCCCCTGAGCGACGGGTCTGCTGCGTGCTGATACCCAATTACCCGGATGGAATTCAAAGCCGGCCACCAAGTCAGCCAATAGGAGCCAGGGAGATCAGACGTTGTTAATTGAGACTGCACCTGCTGAGAATTAAACAGCCAATTAGAGGCTTCACGGAGTCCTCCCAGCCCACCTCTAGTCCAATTACCGAGGAAGCTTCCACCTCCTCTCTGGGGGATAATCCGCGCTCCTGAGTCTGGGACCGAGGTGCGAGGGCGTGGAGTCACTCATGCGTGTCACCGTTAGCAAAAAATTAGTGCCTTTGTACAAAGCCAGTGCCACCCGACACCCCAGTTACCGTGGGGAAAGCAGCCTTGAGATGGGCGATGCTCCGCCGCTTGTTTCCTCTGTGATCTTTTGCCTTGATTGGTTCTAATACTGTGGCAGGGACTCAGGAGGCATGGAAAACATTTGTTTTTGTTTTGAAAACCTGAAACAGCTTGGGAGAGGTTGAGGGGAAGGAGCTGCTCGGAGGAGTGAACAGACGATGAAGACGGATACGGCAGCAGGAGAGATGGAGAGGAACCCGAGTTTGAGCGCGTGGTGGTAAGGGAGCTACGGGTAGTGCGGGCGTCAGGGGCTCGCCCTTCCCTAGGGATCGAGGGGAACGGGTTGGGCGACCGGCGCAAAGGCACAAGCCAGGGGGCCGTTTCTGTGGAGGGCGGTGAAGGGGGTGGGCTTTCCCAGGCGGCGGTTTCCTTCGGAAGAGGGCATTCCAGCTGCCGTCCGGGACCCTGGACCGTTAAGGACGGTTGGGCCCTGCTCCCGCCGCTGAGCGGCGGGGAGCCTCGCGAGCCGGACCCCGCCCCGCCCGCCCCGCATCCAGGCTCAGCCGGGGGCGCGGGGTTGGGCGCTCCTGGTAACATGGAGGTCTTTTGCACTATCTTCTGTCACTCTGGCTGGCTCACGATAAGCACTCAGTGGATGTTGAAGGAACGCCCGATTCTATCTTTGGTCATCTAGGGCGATGCCTTTGGGCCTCAGGTTGTCGTTTTGTATTAATTTTTAAAATGTACATTTTGAATAAGTAATACATACACGTTCTACAAAATTCATAGGCATAAAATGTTATTACAGTGAATAAAGTCTCTCTTCCCTCAAGAGGCAACCAGTTTTACCACGTTCTTGTAAATTTTTTTCACAAGATATTCTATAGTAAACATGCACATATTGTATGTATTGATATATATATTCTTTACTCAGTCGATAACTTATTATCCGTACTGTTTTTGCAATTTCCTTTTATATAGCCGAGATAGTTTACCATAGCAGCACATGTACCTGCTTCATAGTAAGTTTCACAGTAAGACTGAGGGATGTATTAAGATATATTTAACCAGTCCTTTCACATTATATTGATACCCAAGTATATTTCATCTGGCTCTTGTTTATCTGTATAATAAATCCTTAGGGCTGCCAATACTAGGTCAAAGAGGTGTGTGCGTTGTTTTTCATTTGGATAGATACAATTTTGCAAATTCCCAAAGACTTTTCTCATTTTCATTCCCTCAGAGATGTTTGAAAAAAATGTGGTAAAGATAGTATGTATTGCCAAATTGCCTTCCACAGAAGCTTTAAATTCTCTCCCATCAGCAGTGTATGAAAAGGACCTGTTTGATAACATACTTATGCTTTCTGATTTTTGACAATCTCCTAGTGTAAATGGTATCTTATTGTAATTTTAATTTCCATTTCTTTTTTTCTTTAAAGATTTATTTTAGAGTGTGAGAGAGCGAGAGAGAGAGAGAGCAAGGAGGGAGGGACAGAAGGAGAGAGAGAAAATCTCAAGCAGACGCCACGCTGAGCGCAGAGCCCCAGTGGGGTTCGATCTCAGGACTCTGAGATCATGATCTACGCTGAAATCAAGAGTAGGACACTCAACCGACTGAGCCACCCAGGAGCCCCTAATTTCCATTTAAGTCAGGTTGAGCATCTTTTAATATGTTTAAGTGGCAGTTGTATTTTTTTTTGTAAATTGTTCATATTCTTTGTTCATATTTATATTGGTTATTAGGTCTTAATATTTGCTCTTTGTTCATATATAAGTTAAAAATAGTTTTCGCTTTTCTCAGTTTGTACTATGTCTTTTTACTTTGCTTATGGTGGTATTTTTGCTATGCAAATATTTTTATTTTTATGTATTTGAATTTGTCACCATTTTTAATTTTTATTTATTTATTTTTTAAAGATTTTATTTATTTGACAGAGAGATAGCAGGAGCAGGAACACAAGCAGGGGGAGTGGGAAAGGGAGAAGCAGGCTTCCCGCTGAGCAGGGAGCCCGATGTGGGACTCGATCCCAGGACGCTGGGATCATGACCTGAGCCGAAGGCAGACGCTTAACGACTGAGCCACCCAGGCGCCCTCATTTATTTATTTTTATTTTTTTATTTATTTTATTTTTTTAAAGATTTTATTTATTTGACAGAGAGAGACACAGCGAGAGAGGGAACACAAGCAGGGGGGGTGGGAGAGAGAGAGGCAGGCTTCCCGCAGAGCGGGGAGCCCGATGTGGGGCTCGATCCCAGGACCTTGGGATCATGACCCGAGCTGAAGGCAGACGCTTAACGACTGAGCCACCCAGGCGACCCTATGCATTGATGTCTTTTCAATTCTAGTACCATACTGGTTTTTAAAATTGATGTACCTTATGTGTTTTCTCATCAAAAATTTAAAAGTTGATATATAATATACATATAGAAAAGTGCACAGATGAAAAGAATACATCTTGATGAATTTTCAAAAATGTAACACATTTGTGTAACCAACACCAGATCAAGAAACAGAACCTTACCACCGTGCCCAAAGCCACCCTTGTGTTCCTTCTCAGTCACTACTCCCTTCAAGGGTAAACCGCTCTTCTGACTTCTAATAGCACAAACTAGTTTTGCCTCTTTTCGTTTTTTCTATAAAGAAATCACACAGTATGTACTACTTTGTGTCTGGATTTTTTTGTTTGACATTATTTTTGTGAGATTCAGCCATATTGTTGTGTGTAGTTTTAGTCCATTCATTCTCATTACTGTGTAGTATATTGTAAGAACATACCCCAAGGTACTTTTTGATTGTGCTGTTAATTTTATTTTGATTGGAACCATATTGTTAGATTACCCAAGGGAGAATTGTATTTGTGATACAGAATCTTCCTATATACACATCTAAGCCATTGGTGTTCCATCAGAAGTATTTTAAAGTTTTTGTCATACAGACTTTACATATTTCTCGTTAAGATTATTCCTCAGTATTTGAGTGCCTTGATTGCAATAGCCACTTTTACTTTTAAAAATGTAGATGAGTAGTTCAGACCTAAGGAAGAATGTCCATTGTTGCTATAAAAAGTGCAAGCCTGCTTTATGGACCCATTATCTTCTAGTTCCAATAGGAGGTGGTAGGCAAAAAGGATATGAAGTGGAAGTCCAAAAAGAAGGATTACAAATTAGCCACAGGAGGAATTTCTTAATCAGAGCAGCAGAAAACCAGGTGTAATCACTTTTCCCAGAAAAATTTTGAAGGCGTGTTGCCTTCTAATGAACTTCTAATTGGCTGAGCAGAGAGGTCGGTTAGTAGAAGGGATAGTTTTAGGTGAGAGGGTTCCAAACTCTCAAATCCTATTTGGGATTTGTCCTCTCACGCACCCCTCCAAGAGCCCCAGTCAGGATTGAAAGATTGGGTTATGAGGCTGGGATTGGGTGAATTGCGATTTCTGTGTCCTCATCTTCAGTTCTGAAGAGTCTGTCCTCCTTCCTTGAAGGGTGTTCTAAACAGGGTGCGGAGTAGGTGGTACCAGTTAACGTAAGGTCTGGGTTTTCCAGAGCATTCAGTGAGCAGGTGTTTCCGTTCAATAAGCCAAGCAGGAAAGTGGACTTTAGCTAGAAGGCTGGGCAGTGAGGGGTTCTCGAAGGCAGTAGCCTGGTTCCAGAGCCTTTGCTGCTCACAGAGTGCCCTTCTTGGACAACAGGCAAACAATCCAGGCAAACAGTATTTAACCGTCTGGGTTTTTAGAAAACAGCACTCATTTCTCCCTTTGTTGAAGGGGTTACCCCTTCCTCCCCCATGACTCAAGGCTCTGTATCCGAAACCAGCAACCCAGAGGGTGGGCCTTAGTATCAGCAACTATGTTGTGCTGCTCTTTAGTCTTTAGATCAGATTGATGGATTGTGGCGGGTGTCCTCTGCTTCTCTGGCCTCCACCACTCAGCTCTATGTCTTCCTCCTTAATTCTCCTTACAGAGCAGTCTGGAGGAAGAGGACTTGGGAGTCCCTGGTATCAAATGCTCTCCATCCTGAATCACCACCACACTCACTTCTTTGAGCAAAAGTCCCTCCCCACCCCGAAGTCTCCTGCCTCCCCCTGAGAGATAGAAGCTGGTAGGAGGAGGGGAACAGGGGAGGGGAGAGCTGCTCTGATCTGCGCTAACATCCACTCTGTGCCATAGTCCTTCCCAGCCTTTTCTCCGTGCCTATGATGGACCCCGGAGAGTACAGGCAGGCCCGTTCTCAGCCTTCCCCGTCCCCAAACCCCCACCTGCTGCTTCTCATGGCAGAGCTTCTTCACCTGCATTCCATGGAGCCTGTGATGGTTTCAGGGTGACTGAGGACAGTCTCTGAGCATTTTTGTTCATAGCTCACTCCAGGCATTCTCAGAGGGTTCTGTGACTCCAAAAAGCTGTGGATCATTGCCTTGCAGGGCTTGCATCCTTGAATCAGGGATCCAGCATAGCAAAGGAAATAGAGAAATTGGAATATATCAGGAACCAAAATGCGGAGTGCCCAAATGCTTCCCAAGTATCTTGGGGTCCAAGCTTCTCTCAGCTTAGGTGAGACCATGTCTGAAATGGAAGAGAGGAGGGTGGAGGGAGGGAAGGATGAGGTAACCTCAGGGAGACTCTGTCAAGCAGGGGTAGGCAGAAGGTCGGCAAATTCTTCTTGATCTGAAATAGCTCATAGATTGTTCTGCCACACTAGAAATTCCCAAGCAACCGAAGATAACCTAAGAGGTTGTTGACGTTAGAACCCAGAAAAGGACCCAGGAAATCTGAAGCCTCCAAAATGTGAGAGCTCTGTTGCTGGCATCCACGGTTTCAGTTCGGTCCATCTGATCCGTGGAATTTCTGCCCCTTTCTGCCTGTCCCTGGGGCAGAGGCGGAGACGACATTTGGAGAGGGAACTGAGAAAGGGTAACAACCAACCAAACAACCCTCGGCTTCCCAATCAGGTACCTTAGTTCCTGAAGGCAGGGGAGGACCAACATCTGGCCTCATCCTCCTGAGACTTGTTCTGAGTGGTGGGGTAGAAGAGGACCTGGGTCAGGCCCTTCAGCAGAGAGGCCCTGGGGATAGGTCAAAAGAGCAGGCAATGACTAAAGCAGCACACTTGGTGGAAGGCATTTGGGTTTTGAGTCCGACAGCCCCGAGTTCAAAAACAGCTCCCTCACTAACTAACTGTGTGTCCTCGAGCAAATTCCTCCATCTATTTGACCCTGGGGAGAGCCTCTATTGGGTTGCCCCCAGCATGGGGACTGTAACATCCCTGCACATGCGCACACCCCACCAGCATGTGTCCCTGGTTGCATTTACATGCTACTACACACGCGCGCACACACACACACACACAGTCTGTACAGTCGCACCTGCGCTGAGGGTAGCTTTCCCAGGCAGGTAGAGAACTGCTTGCTGATGATTGGACAAGCTGTGGAAGTGCTCATCACGGTGACCTTGTCACATCAAAGGGCTTTAGGAAAAACTGTGTAAGGAAAATAAGAGGTGGTAGTGGGCGGTAGCTCCATGGGCATTTTCCCCAGGCTGAATGTGCTTCTCAAGGGCTCCTTTCCCCCCTCTGCCAAGAAGGCCCTTGTCCGTGCCCAGAGGTGGAATGTCTGTAGCTGTGCTGTCCAGTAGAGGGGCACGGGTCACATGTGGCTTTTGAGCACTTGAGAGATGGCTAGTGTTACTGAGGAGTGGACTTTTAAGTTTATTTCAGTTTAATTTAAATGTTAAAACTGATACTGGATTTAGTGGAAAACTTGTAATATATTTGGAACAACGTAGATGTGTGAATCTACTTTTTCAACAATGAATTTTATTTATTTATTTATTTTTAAAAGATTTTATTTATTTATTTGACAGAGAGAGACACAGCGAGAGAGGGAACACAAGCAGGAGGAGTGGGAGAGGGAGAAGCAGGCTTCCCGCTGAGCAGGGAGCCTGATGCGGGGCTCGATCCCAGGACCCTGGGATCATGACCTGAACCGAAGGCAGACACTTAACGACTGAGCCACCCAGGCGCCCCTCAATAATGAATTTTATGAAACCTAAGAACAGCTCCGATCTTTCTGGGGAAAATTTTGTGATTGAACTGAGATGTGCTATAAGTGTAAGCTATACACTGGATTTCAAACACGTAATATGAAAAAATAATTAAAATATTTCATTATTAATTTTCATATTGATAACATGCTGAAATGATCATCGTTTGGGTACCCTGGGTTAAATAAAATATAGTATCAAAATGTAATTGTATCTGGGTCTTTTGCTTTTTAAATGTAATACTAGAACATTTGAAATTACGTGGGTGACTCACATTCTGTTGCTATTGGGCAGTGTTGCTCCGAGACTCTGGGACTCAGGCAGCTGCATCTTCTGCTCTAGGGCACATCATCTGTCCCTCACTGCCTCTGGGGGCTCCCCAGAGATTTGTCTGCACAGCAGTGCTGCTTCTGTCCTCTCCTGCATCGCAGAGTGGGCAACTAGAGTAAGAACCTCTAGTACTAGACCTCCAAGTCTCAACCTAGTAAGCTGCGGGTAGAAGATCTCGGAGAAGAAAGGGCTGTGCCAGCGAAACCTTTCCAGTGCCTTATAAACTGGAGAGGGGAGGTTGCCAGGATGTAAGAGAATTGTGTGTGTGTGTGGGGGGGGGTTGGGGGTGGAAGTGCAGGGATACCGTTTTCTCAAGATTGTTGGGTTTTCCAGCCTCACTCTCCACCTGCTGGGTTCTCACCTCTGGTCCACTCCCATATCCTCACTTGGCCCCACTGAAGAGCTTGCCTGCTGGTCAAGTCTGGCTGCCTCCTGGAGGGCACCTGCTCCTCTCCCCTGTTGGGGACAGTTTGAGCGGGGAATCTTCTAATGAGTGGAGTCTCCTCAAAGCAAGGACATGAGCAGCAGGAATTGCTAGGAAGCTCATGATGCTTGCGTACTGAGGGATGGTTGGGGGCTCTTGAGGGCAGAGGGGAGCTAAGGACACTGAGCAGATGCTGCTGCAGAGAGGCTCCCCAGGACCGCATGACTCCCCACTTCTCAGTGCCTCCTCCCTGCCCCTCCTCTCCCTTCCCTCCTCCCCTTTGGATGATGCTGAGGCTGCTCCCTCTCAAATCTCTCCTTTTCTCTGGCCCTGCCTTGCCTTCTATTTAAGCACACTCAGAGGCAGTCAGCATCTCCTCCCACCCCGCCTCTTTACCTGGGGTCTCTGTTCGGCAGTGACCTCTATCCAGAGACAGCTTCCTACTGGGCTGCACCGAACAGGGAACAAGGGGCACCAGCAGAAATGGAGTGGAAATTAACTAGGCAGCCAGATCTTGCTGCTGCCTCTTCCCTCCCACTTTTCACTACAGTGTGTGGGGCCCCATCCTGCCTGTTTCCTCCAAGCCTGGTCCTGCCGGGTTCTGGGACTCTCCTAGGAAACTGCAGATTCTTGCTTTCGTTAGGCATTTTCTAGGAGTTCCCTTCATACTCTTCCTCCAGAGCACTAGAGATCTGTGATTGGGAGATCATAATTAGGAGATCCCAACAAGAATGAGAAAGAAGGGAAGGAGCTGGGTGTCCTAGGCTGGGATTTCTGCAGTGGGTCCTCTTGGAAGGTGAAGGACCTCTCCTTCTCCAGCTGCAGAGATACAGAGGACAGGGAAGGGCCGAAACTGAAACAGACTGGGAGTCTCTTCAGAACATCTCTGGGCCTCCTTCTGTGTCAAACCTGTATGTCAGGCAAGCCCATTGAGATACATGCTCAGTGGGGAGGCAGAAAGGATAGGGAGGGAGAGATTTGCTAACAATGAAGGGGGGGAGAAAGAGTGAAATAAACAAAACTCCTGATATCACACTTCATTTAGGCTGCTACTATCATGGCCATTTGGCAGCAAGTTTAATGATGTGACAGATGGGGCACGTATTTGAGGCTCATGCAGACACAGCACCAATGTGTAGTCTGTCCCTCCTCCCCTATTGCACACTCATATCTTCTTAGCCTGAGGTCCTTGGCCCTAGTTCCTTGTGCCTGGGAGGGGACAGAGCAGAAAAAAGAGGGAGACTGCCTGGTTGAGGAGCAGAAACTCTGAGAAGCAAGTGGCACTTCCCAGCCTCACCTCTGCAATAATTTTTTTTTTTTTAAGATTTTATTTATTTATTTGACAGAGAGACACAGCAAGAGAGGAAACACAAGCAGGGGGAGCGGGAGAGGGAGAAGCAGGCTTCCTGCCAAGCAGGGAGCCCAATGTGGGGCTCGATCCCAGGACCCTGGGACCATGACTTGAGCCGAAGGCAGACGCTTAACGACTGAGCCACCCAGGCGCCGCACCTCTGCAATAATCTTATAACTGTGGTTGGCAGTCAGTAGTGATTGTTAAAGGGTGTAAGTGTGTGCGAACAAACAGACTGGAGCCTTGGGGCTGTTTCCTGCTTTGTGTCAGGGGGATGGGTGGGTAGGGCTGGGCTGACTATGGATTTACATCTCCTGCCCCCTGGGACCCTCAAACTGCAAAAGCAGGGGGAGGCAGACCATCGGGAGGTGTCATTAGCTGCTGGCACGATGCGGGCAGGTGTAGGACTAGGTTCTGGTGCAAGCAGCCTTGGTTTTCTTTTTTCTCTTTTGGTATCTGAAGCTGGCTTGGCTGGAATTCCAGTGTGGAAGGAAAGGTCAGAAGAGCTTGGCAGTGACCCGGTTACCCCCAGAGTTCTTATCCCCAGAGGGCCGAGGTGCCACAAAGTCAAAGGTCATGTGATGTTTGACCCGGCCTTTGCCCTTGCTCCAGAGGGCAATGAGGCCAAAGCAGAGGGTCACTGAGGTGAGGAAGGGGAGGAAGCCAACTGCCAGCACCATAGCAACACCTCTGCTGTCCAGGATGAAGGGCCCTGGGATCCCTGGCATGGTGATATTGGGGTCAGAGAGAGTGCCATTTGGTGGTTCAACTTGGATTACTTCTAGCCAGGTCCTCAGGGAGTCATTCCCAGCAACATTGCTGACCACGCAGACATAGGCCCCTCTGTCCTGTAGCTGCACTGAGCGGATCTCCAGCGTCCCATCCTCTAGGACCCTCACTCGCCCAGCCCTTCCCAGCCAAGCCCCCTGAGGTCTCATCCAGGAGACAGTCGGGGCTGGGTCCCCGTCTCCAGAGCAGGAGAAAACAGCATGCCCCCCCTGCTCTGCAATGACCCACCGTGGCCCGGACTTCCGGATCAGGGCCGGCTGGCAAGTGAAATGCCCGGGAGGTAGGATGTCTGAAAACTCCCTCAGGCTCTTGCCCTGCACGGGCCGTGGGCCGGCACAGGCCGGGGGCGAGGAGCCGAAGTCCAGGCGGCCGCGGCGCCGTAACAGCCAGAGGAGGCGGCAGTCACAGGTCAGGGGGTTGCCAGACAGCCTCAGGGTGACGAGTTTGTCCGGAGAAGGGAAGGCTGTTTCCTCTAGAGTCTGAAGGGCATTGTCCGCCACGTCTAGGAGGTGGAAAGCAGTCAGGCCGTGGAAGGCGTGGGCGGCAATGGAGGTGAGGCCCGCGCCCGACAGTCGCAGCTCCTGGAGCCGCACCAGAGGACTGAGCCTCCGGGCTGGGATGGCCGAGATGGGGTTCTGAGACAGATCCAGGACCCTGAGGAAGCTCAGGTGGTGGAGCGCCTGGAAGGGCACTGAGCTCAGATTGCAGCGGGTGATGGCCAGGCTGCTGAGATTGAGCCCAACCAGGCTCCCAGGCTCCAGAGCCTCCAGTGATGGCCAGTGGTGGATCTCCAGCTCCTTTAGCTGCCCCAGCCCCCGGAGTGCCCCGGCTGGCAGCCTCCCGATATCCAGTTCTCGAAGCCTTAGGGCCACCAGTGCCGGGAGGCGGGCCAGGGCCAGGCCAGGCACTGTGCTGAGGTTGCAGCGTTCCAGCGTGAAGGTGCTCAGCTTGGCCAGCCCTGCAAAGGCCCCTGGAGCCACAAACACCAGGTGGTTGTCCCCCACCTCCAGCTGCTGGAGGCTGCCCAGCTCCCCAAATGCTCCGTCAAGGAACAGGACAATCTGGTTGAGGCGGAGGTCCAGCAGCCTGAGGGCAGATAGGCCCGAGAAGACCCCAGGCCCCATGATCCGCAGCCGATTGCCCTGCAGCCTCAGGGTGAGTAGGCTTTGGAGGCCGTGGAAGGCTCCAGGCTCCAGGGTGGACAGCTGGTTGTAGCTGAGGTCCAGCTCCTGGAGCAGGCCCAGGCGGGAGAGCATGCCCTGCTGAAGCCCCCACAGGCGATTCCCACTCAGGTCCAGGAGCTCAGTGTCCAGTGGGAGTCCCCCAGGCACAGCCTCCAGTCGCCGATGGGCACAGAGCACTGCCCGTGGCTGGGAGGTGCAGTCACAGACAGCAGGGCACCCGCCACAGCTCCCTCCGGGCAGGAGGAGCAGGAACAGGAGAGGGGGCCATGGGGGCCAGGCTCGCTTTGGAGCTGTGGCCATAGCCATTCCCTCTTCAATCCTGGAATAGATGATGATATGGTCCTTTTTGGAAAGTGACTTCAGATGATGGTGACCCTGGACTTCCCTGGGCCTCCTTAGAGGAGAGAGAGATTGAGCTATCTCTCTCGGCATTGCCAGCGAGGACGGTGCAGACCTGGGAGCAACTCTGGTGGACCACCTCCTTGGGGGCCTCCTGGGCCACCTCTTTGGGGAATCTCGACTTTCCTCCTGCCCCCAGCCCTGGTAATAGGCCAAGTGCTTACTGGCCCATGGAACCCTAGTTAAGTCTGACTTCAGTGGGCAAAGTTTTCTGTGGATGGGACAGGAAGCAAGGAAGTAACTTTGAGTGTTCCTGTATCTGTGAGATCCAGGAATACCTCCAGTCCCTTCTCCCTGATACTTGTTCTCCCCAAGCTCTGCCCTCCCCCTCTCTGCCAACCCTTGTTCTCCCGTGTTATCTGCCCATAGCTTTGTCTAAGGCTCAGGGGGAATCACATCCTTGGAGTCTGATTGGAGCGAGGTCCTTGACTGAGTCCTCCAAGGGAAACATGCTCAGCTCTGCTCCCTGTACTTACTGCCCCTCTGCCTTTCTCCAGCCTGGCTCAGGGCCTGGGGCCCTGAAGTAGCAAGATCCAATCTCCCCGAAATGCCTGTGTGGACAACAGCCAAGCTGCACCTCAGGCACGGCGCAGATGCAGGGGGCACTTGAATCCCTCATAAGAACCCTAGGGGCAACCCCTATAGATGACACTGGGGTGTGTGAGGGACCCAAGGGATGCCCAAGTTTTGAGTTTTGTTGCTTGGTCCTTAGTCTCAGGCTTCTCTTCTATTCCTCCTCGATGGTGTTTTGATTTAGTCCAATGTGTGAATCTGAGGGAGCTCTCTTGTTCTCTTTGGGCTCAGCTGTCTGAGTGATACACAAGAGACAGACTGTGCGCCGGGGAGGCAGAGACAAGTGCGAGACACCACCTGGCCCGGTGCTGTGGGTGGGGAGCGTGCGAGCCCTAGGCCGGCACAGCGCTCTCTGGGGGAGGCTGTGTGCATAGCCTGTAGACTGCAAGTGGGTTTCTGGGAACCCAGGGCCTGGGCAGAATCAGGATGATGGAGAGTAGAATGGCCATCGGGGACTGATTGAAGGTGCTAGAGGAGAAGGGGCCTGGGAGTTGGTGAACTCACCCTCAACTCACTCCGTTCAGTGTCAACAGGGCATTGAACAAGGGAGGGGAGGTATTGGAATTGGCAAGGGAGGGCTAAAGAGATGAGATGAGAGACAAGTGGTCCTCCCTGGGAGGCAGGCTGCCTGGGTTTCTTTCTAGCTGCAGATCCAGATGGCCTTCGGGGCTTCAGGCTATCTGGGCCCTGAAGGGTCAGCTTTCTCCCACACGCCTGATTTTCTCCCATATGGTACTTAGGAGAGGCAGTTTAAGAGATGGTATGACTTCTTCCCATTCAGGGGGATCACATCCCTGGATCCTGACTGGAATGAGGCTCTGCAGCCCTCATTTAGACGGACGGGCTCTTCTGGTGGTTCTCCTGCTGTGGTAGTGGGAAACTGAAGATCAGAGAGGCAGAGGGATGCAGGACACCGTCCCCAGGCTTGGGGTTAGAGAGAATGGCACGGGGCAGGCCAAGGCTGCTGACCAGGCTCCTCTTGTCCCCAGCCCAACCTAGCAGGTATCTCTGGCATGTTGAGAGTTCTCCCGGGACAGACGTGTCCCAGTCTCCCTCATTCTCCCTGTGCCTGTTCTGGGAAGTCCACCTGACAGCTAGCTCTTGATCACTACCGCTGCAGTTCCTGCTCAACCTTTTTGCTCCGCATTCAGCAAAAGTGCAGTGAAGCATGTAACCCAGCTTCCCTTCCTCCCATTCCCGTGAGTTTCCTCTTAGTCCCCAAAGCCTGCTGGGTCAGGGGCTGGGGGATCTGGGGACAACCCCTTTTCTTTATTTATAAGGTGGCTAATTTAATCACAAACTTCCCTTGCCAGTCTCCATGGCTACGGGACTGGCTTCCAGCCACTTTTGCAGGAAGAAATGGGTGTCAGAACCACTTCTTTCTTTAAATGGGGTGGGGTCTGGGTCATCTCTTCAAGGAACAGGAAGCTTTCTTCTTCTTGTGTCTATGTGGTAGTCCAGAGACACATCTGAACCTGGATATCCCTTTTTAAGCAGACCCGATGGAGGCATGGGGACCTGCGTGGGGAGAGGGCTGTGGCAGATTTCTGGAATTTCCACACTGAAATGTGGAAAAACCCTTCCCAGAGGTAGAGGAAGCACTGTGGAGATGGTAGAGGTCTCCTTAGAGTCCTTCCCCACAGGGGCTCTGGGACATTTTAGTTTTCCCATGCAAGTCCAGTGGGGCCAGGATCACTGGTTGGCTGGGGGCGGCAGGGGCGGGGGCAGCTGGCGGGGAGGGACAAGAGGGGCACAGACCCTCTAGCCTGACAGGCCTGCCAGTCTGGCCTTGTCTCTGAGAATGTTACAGAGAAGGGCAGCTGCAGCCTTGGGACAGGAGGTGGGGTCGCTTACCGGAGAAGCTGGAGGGCGGCATCAGGTTGGACACTGCATCCGTCCAGGGCTGGGGACCGTCCCGCTGAGGCTGCACCCCGGGGCGGGTGGGGGGTGCTGTACCTCCCGGCGTGCCTCACTCCCCGCCGCCCCCGCCCACTGTGGCCGCTCTGGCTGCTGTGGCCGCTGCTGCCAAGACCGAGGTAGAGAAAAGAGCCAGAAAGCATTTCTCCTTTTTTTTTTTCCTCTCTCTCTTTTTAAACCAGGCGAGAATGAGTCTGCAGCAACCCTGTTGGTGCAAAATAAATAAATAAAGCCACCAGGGAGGGCTGCAGCAAGCACCTCACAGGATGGCGGGGGCAGGGAGTGCAGAGGGAGACTCGGGGGTGCAGGAGGGCTCAGGAGGGAGAGGCGGCCAGCAGCCCGAAAGGGTCTCTCGTGGACATCCTGACTCCCCTCTGGGGAGCTCTGGGGCCAAGCACCTTCCTCAGGGGTGTCAGTCTCCCAGATGCAGGGTGATTCTGTGCAGCCTCTCAATCTAAATGTCCCCCATGGGTATCGTTTTGTGGGGAAAGTTCTCAGTCCAGAACATCTGCTGGGGAGCTTAGTTCGAGACTCCTTTGGTGGGGGTTCCTGAGGAGCACCTCCCAAGCCTCCCTGGGGGGCTGCTCAGAGTGGGGGCTGCAATCCTTATGATGTTCATGGGTTGCTGGCCTAGAAACCTGGGTCTCCACACAGGAATGAGACAGGAGAACAGCTTGTCTGTAATGCGATTTAAGTACCCCCACCCCTGCCCCTGCCGCACATACCTCTGGCCTTTAAAATCATTTTATGAAGAATAGCACAAGTTGGGGTTTATGTTTAGCCAACTTAACCCCTCTGCCGAGAGGAACACAGCATCCCCACATCACCGGCCATTTATCCCTCAGAGGAGGGCTCACAGCGATTTGTAAAGCCAAGAGAAGTCCTGGGGCATGATCACAGCCAGAGAAACAGGTGTCTGTCCTGTTCCCTGGTCTCCTCCCTGCTAGAGTTGGGGTGAAATTGTGTCTGTTTCCTTTCTGCATGATGACAGGAGGACTCTTCCAAGGGTCGGTCTGGGGCATCTGACTGACCAGTGTCCAGCCATCCCTTCTTCTTTTGGGGTTTCTTGTGCTAGAAGACAGCTGGGGCTGGGATTGAGTTTGGGCCACCCCAGGTCTAAGGTTGGTGGACTGGCACACCACGAAAATGTTCTGGGTTCCCTCAGGATTGGGACTCTTTCCCTGAGGCCACTAAGCACCTCTGAGCTGTGACCTCAAGGAAGACAGAAATGGTGTCAGATTAAATGTGTTTACAGAGGTGCATAATTGCAGTTTGAGTTTGTGAGTGTGTGTTTCACCTGTATGTGCATGTGTGTCTCTCATCAGATTTGTGCTGACCCCTAAAGTCTACTTCTAAAGTGCACATAAGAGGTTTGAGTTCTATCTGTGATGTTCTTGGCCTCCATTGTAACCTATCCCTGTACCCAAATCCCATAAAAAAATTATCCCAGCCCCTTACCCCCACCCCATCCTTATCTTCCCATATCCAGTTTTTTTTAGATCCTGGGAAAAGGGCAGGGTGCCCAACCACTTCCTAGCTGAGCTGAGAGGAAGGGGGAAGTAGAAAATCTAAAGATCTGGATTCATGTTATATACAGGTCCTTCTGGGCTCCAGCCATCAGTCTCTGAGCTTGACACATCTCCCCAGCCACAGCCCATGGGGAGATGCAATGAGGTATTTTAAAGTCCTATTCTTAGCTTCTGAGCCCAGAGTTGAGTTCTGTTCATCCAGGGTGTCCTGGATCCCCCTGGTGTCCTCAGGACACCATGGTCCTCCTAGAGGTCCTTATGTGCCACCCGAGGCCTCTCAGAAGCTGGGGGTGAAGGGTCATGGGAAAGGAGACGCAACAAAGCTGAGGCTGGAGATGGTGTTCCTTCATCACCACCTTCTGGCTCTTGGCCCACTGTCAGGCAAGCCTGTGGGCAGAAAACCAGTCTCAGCAATTGCTCACCCCCAACGAACAGGCAGGGACCACCCTCCAGGGGGCACAGATAAGAAAAATGTGAAGGTGGGAGGAGATCCAGGGAGGAGGGCCAGTAGGCTCTAGGGAAGGGAAAGGAGTCCCTCCTCCAGGTCACTCGGACAGCCCTTCGGGTGACTCAATTTCAGTGCTGAAGAGTTCCTTGTAGAGTGGAGGGAAAGCAGCTTGGACCACGATGGGGTGGAGATGCTGGAAGGTTTGCAGCTTTTCCACGTGCTGGCTACACAGGCTCCGAAGCTTCCCCTTGGGTGGCAGCTGGAGATGGGTTAACAGGGGAGGAGGATCAGTACTCCAGCCTTCTCCCCAGAGCAAAGATGTCCTCTCCTCCCTGGGCTAGGGCAACCTGCCTTGCTTTCCCCCTCTGCGCTCGGCCCTGGAGGAATGGCTGGATTAGATCCCATCACAGGGAGGGGTATGTGTTCAGGAAACTGGAGGCAAGCCAGGACTGCTACGGAACAAGGGCATGTTTTCTGAGTGAATCCCCTCATCACATTCCTGCTACTCCTGAAATGAACCCTGGTGAATACTCTAACTCACACTTCCTGCTCTTAGAATAGTGAGACCCCGTGGTTCTGTTCTAGTCTATTGCATGCCTCTTGGACCTTCGTCAATGCTGTTCTCCTCACCTGGAATGCCTTTCTGATTTTTCTTTGCTTGGCTAATGCTTCCTCACTTTCAAGTGTCACCTCCTCTGGGTATATTTCTCTAACCACCTCTCCCTGGATTAGGGGCCTTTCCTTTGGACTTCTCTTTGTGTAGTAGCACTTAAACCCCATTTTAGGGAAATGGTCTAATTTGTCTGCCTTCCCACCCTAGCTAGGTTTAATCTAGGGTCTCTCCTTGTCTCTTTCTCTCCCTG